TAAACATACTCTTAGCATTTGATTTAGCAGTCATGTTTCTTGGTATAACATGTGCTTAAATGACTTGAAAACCTATGTCCACACAAAAACCTGCACAAAGATGTTTATAGCAGCTTTATTCATTAATTGTCACAATTTGGAAGCAACCAAGATGTCCTTTAGTAGGTGGATGGATAAATAAACTGTAGTATATCCAGACAGTAGAATATTCTGTGTTATAAAGAAATGAGCTATCAAACCATTAACAGACATGGAGGATCTTTAAATGTATATTACTAAGTGAAAGGGCAATTTGAAAAGGCCCCATACTATTTTATTCCAAGTGTAAGACATTCTGGAAAAGATAAAACTATGAAGATAGTAAAAATGTCAGTGGTTGCCAGGGGTAGGAGGAAGAGAGGGATGAATATACAGAGCAAAGAGGATTTTTAGGATGGTGAAACTATTCTGTTTGATACTACCTATAGTGGTGGAAACATGTCATTATACATTTGTCAAAACTCATAGAATGTACAACACCAAGAATGAACCCTGGTGTTAATTATGGACAGGGGGTGATAATGTGACAGTGTAGGTTCATCACTTGTAACCGGTGTACCACTGTGGTGCAGGATGTCTGTACTAGGGGAGTTTGTGGGTGTATAGGGGCATAGGATATATGGAGAATCTTTGTACTTTCTGCTAAATTTTGTTGTGAACCTAAAACTGCTCAAAAAATAAAGTTTATTAATAAAAACATAGTCATGCATCACTTAATGATTGGGATACATTCTTAAGAAATGCTTTGCTAGATGATTTTGTGCTTGTGTGGACATCTTGGAGTTTACTGACACAAACATAGATGTGTAGTAGGCTACATGGCGTAACGTATTGCTTCTAGGCTCCAAACCTGTACAGCATGTTACTGTATTGAATACTGTGGGCAGTTGTAATACATTGGTAATTTGTGTATCTTAACATAGAAAAGACAGCGTGTTGCACTGTGACATTACAGCAGCTAGATTTGACTAGGTGATAGAAATTTTTCAGTTTCATTCTAATCTTATTGGGACCACTGTTGTATGTACTATCTGTTGTTGACTGAAACATCATTAGGCAGTGCATGTGTCTATGTCTGAGACTTATCTCAAAATAATATATGTGGAGTGCATACACATGGATGGGGAAGATTTGCCAGGGGTGTATGGTTGCTGAAGCTGGCTGCTGGGTACATAATAACTTTTGATATCTACTAGGGCAAGTTTCCCTACCTTATTCAAAATTACAATGATATTTTGTTAAACTTTTTATTCTGTAATATTAATATTTTAAACATACACAAGAGTAGACAAGGTAGTATAAATAATACTATGTTAATTTAGACAGTATAGATAGTGTTGGCATGAGAATAGACAAATAGATAATAGAATAAAGTTCCCAGAATCAGTCCTTCAGAAATGTGGAAATTTGATAGATAATAAAGATAGTATTATCAAAATGGGAAAAGTGTGGGATAATAGACATAGAACAGTGACAACGTCTACATAGAAAAACTAGATTTCACCTTCATACCTGAGCACCTGTCAACATAATAAATGATATATTGATACTGTGGTATTCATTCAGGTTAAGAAAGTGGGGTAGTTATGTATATGAAAAATCAACAATCTTGAGGGGTAATTTTATGTCATGAAAACATAAGATTTTAAAACCTGCGTCACAGAGTAAATGTGAAAAATATGCACCATAATGATAAAGCTAAACTTCTGATAGTTGTTACTTCTGAGGAAGATAGGGTATTTGTGATGTTTTACTTCCTAACGTTAAAATGAAATTGAAGGAGATATAGCAAAATATTAAAAATTGATGAATCTAAGTGATAGGTAATAGGTATCTGTTAATTTTTTATAGTTGTTTCTATGCTTTAAATAGTTTATAAAGTGTTTAGTAATAACCAAGTGAGTTGTCTGAATCTTGTTTCGATACTAATTCAAATGTTCAGAAAGAGTTTTTTTGAAATTTTACCAGAGATTAGGTATTAAATATCAGTCAAATGTTAATTTTGTCTGTGTGTCAGTGGGACTGTGTTTATATAAGAAAATATTCCTACCTTTAGAGATGCATGTGTAGTGTGTTAGATGATGTAATATTTCTGGTGCTTTAAAATACTGCAGCAAAGAAAAAGGATAGTTGAAATAAATGTAGCAAAATCTTGAATAACTCTGGAATCTTGGTGAAAGGTATATGAAGGATTTTTATATCATACTGTCAAGTTTTGAGTATGTTTGAAAACTTTTATATTTACATATATAGAAGTAACAGGAATAAATAAATAACTTCTGTTGGTAAATGTAATGCTTGAAATGCTTTGCTCTAAAAAATTAAGTTTTTCTAACTTTATTTTTTTCTTAAATTTTAATAAATTCAGGGGGTATACATGTTGAATTCTGTTACATGTGTATGTTGTATAGTGAGTTTTTGTTTTTAAGGCTTGGACTTTACTACTATACAGTCTAACTTTTTTAAACTTCTCTTTTTCTCCTGGGTTTTATATATATGCAGAAATTAAATTCACATATAAAATATGCAGTATATTCATAATTCATATATATGTCAATCTTAAGTCTTCCACCAGGCTCTATGCCACTTTTAAGTGCCAACAATTGATACTTATATTTGGTATTGGTTTATAATTTTCTATTTATAATGACAACATGGTAGTAAATAGCTCTGGGTTATCGGCAGTAAATCAAAAGTACCAAGGATAATTGTCATGAGGAGGTGTTAAGTACATAAATTGAGCCTTGATAAAATTGTAGTTCCCAGAAATGAATAAAGTGCCCCAAAAGTAACCCTCTGTTTTATTTTTACAGTTTATGAAAGTTTAACACTCACCATATACTGTTTTCACATACATACTTTACTTTTCACATATTTATATTCAGTTTCTGGGTTAATTCTAGTCACATGCCTACCCTGACTTTCTAGGTATTCATCTTTAAAATACTTCAGATAATTACTTTCTATAATTAATGTTTTTATAACTATCCCTGGCTTGCATTTCAAAATACATCAATGGTTGTAGGAAACTGATATTGAGAGAGTAAAGATTTCCGAAATGACCTTACTTAAAATTAGCATGACTGGGTGTTTCTCCTTGTGACTTATACTACCAAATCATTAATTCCTGTGATTGTTTGATAACAATGAATGTCTTCACCACTTTTAAAAGTTCTTTTTTGTTGAGACAGAGTCTCACTGTGTTGTCTGGGCTAGAGTGTTGTGGTGTCAGCCTAGCTCACAACAACCTCCATCTCCTGGGCTTGAGCAATCCTACTGCCTCAGCCTCCTGAATAGCTAGGACTGCAGGAATGAGCCACCATGTCCAGCTAATTTTTTTTTTCCTGTATATTTTTAGTTGTCCAGCTAATTTCTTTCTTTTTTTTTAGTAGAGACGGGGTCTCGCTCTTGCCCAGGCTGGTCTTGAACTCCTGAGCTCAAACAATCTGCCTGCCTCAGCCTCCTAGAGTGCTAGGATTACAGGTGTGAGCCACTGCGCATGGCCTAAAAGCTCTTTAATTGATATTATCTATTTGATTTTTATAAGTAGTTAGATATATATGCCAAAAATTCAAAAAATAGTTGCCAGTATCCTTGTGAGGAAACTGAGGCTTGAGGGTTTTGTGATTCCCTTGAAGTCATACAGCTGGTTAGCAGTAGAGTTAGATCTTCAGTCAGTTACTTTTCATGGCCAGTTTGGTTTAGTTATTGTGCTCTGTAAAGGAAATTGATGAGTTTGCAAAGATTAACTTTTTTTGTTATTTGTTTAAGACAGGATCTCCCTCTGTTGCCTGGGCTAAAGTGCAGTGGCATCATCGTAGTTCACTGCCACTTCAAACTCCTGGGCTCATGCAATCTTCCTGCCTCAGCCTCCCAAGGAGCTGGGACTGTAGGCATGTGGTACCACGACCCGTAAATTTTATTTTTTGAGGAAACAGGGTCTCACTGTGTTTCTCAGGCTAGTCTAGAACCTCCTGGCCTCAAGCAATCCTTCTGCCTTCCTTGACTTCCGAAAGTGCTCTGCCCAGCCAAGGTGAACAGTTTTCTTCATAAATATCACACAACTTTTAAATGCCAAAAATATTTTAAAAATTGAGACAAAAAGCAGAGACTGGGAAAGTTTTGTAAGAGAAGTCATATTTAATATCTAGAATCTACAAAATGCTTTTTCAAATCAGGAGAACAATTCATTAGAAAGAAATGTCAGGGATATCACCAAACAGGAAATACTGGTCACTAATAATTGTGTTAATAAATGTACTCTTTATCAATGAGGAAATATAAATTACAATAATGACTATTTTCTACCTGTGAAGGTGACACAATTTCAAAAAGATGGCAAATAGTGACTGTTGGTGAGTATATCAGAAAAAGGCACACCCCTATATATTGATGATAGATTCCTCTTTTTTGGAAATCAGTTTGTCCAAACTTAAATCACGTAGCAGGCACATCATGTAAATTTAGTATGTAAGAGATGTTAAGGAGAAATTAATCCTAACTTAAGAGAACCTGGATCTTGTAACTGCCCTGAGCTCTGGCTTTCTTTTTTCTTTTATGAAGCATTTCTTGTATGTTTAATTTGTGAGAGCTACTGTACTAAATAGCATTTCCAATAAATTACCATTACAGCAACCCTGTGAGGTGGATGTTTTAAATACCCATTGTGCAGATATGGAGATTTAGGCTAGAGAGATTAAATAACTTGACCAAGGTCATTTTAGCCAATGGGTAGAAGAGCCTAGATTTAGCTCTAATACCACGCACGACATTAACCACTGTATTGTTAGGTAATAGTAATTGATTTGTGATGCTCAGCATACCTTAAGTCTCACCTCTATTAAAAGGGTGTCATTTTGTATGTTAACATTTAAAACTTTAATGTCTGGTTCCTTTATTAGCATATCAGCTTGATAAAAGTGAACCCCTCATTCATGACAAATCTTTTACTTTTTTCCCAGAGGATCTGAAGAGGCAAAATGCAGTGCTACAAGCTGCACAAGATGATTTGGGACACCTTCGGACACAGCTATGGGAAGCCCAAGCAGAGATGGAGAATATTAAGGCTATTGCCACAGTGTCTGAGAATACCAAGCAAGAAGCTATAGATGAAGTGAAAAGACAATGGAGAGAAGAAGTTGCTTCACTTCAGGCTGTTATGAAAGGTAAAGACAAAGAAAGATCAGTTTTATGATTTTCTAAGATATCTGATTCTGGTGATGGAGAATATTTTCAGAGGATCTTAAAATACATCCTGAGTTGGATTTGTGGCTTTATGTATTATTATCATCAAGATGTACTATCAGATAAAAGGAAAGTCAATGATATTCTAGATGGGTATATGAGTATATCATCTGTATCTTTAACAAATTCAATAGTGGGGAGTGATAGTAAGAGTGTTCTAGTGATAGTACATTAAATGAGGAACTATAAGTTCATCCTAAGGTTTAAAGTAGGGCTTAAAAGTGGATTTGTGATAGGAGTCAGCCTAGTAATGTCAACGAATAAAGCTGTTAGGCACAGGGAACGTGCTGGGCTGGAGGGAGCCATCCAGCGGGTAAAGTGGCTATTTACTGATTAGCTCCAGCTCATTATTGCCCTTCCAGTGTAGTGTTGTGGTATTGTTTAGATTTTTAAGAAAACTTTGTATGTGAAATCTTCACTGCAGTGTATGGGGTAGAATGGCCTATGGGCTAGAATAGGCTTTATGGGCTACCAGCTTGTGACCCTTGGTCTAAAGGAGGAAAACTAGTTTCATCTCTGTCTCCTTTTGGCACTAGTGCTAATCGCTCTCCACATTTCTGAGGTGATGATGAGGATGAAATGAAGTTGCCCCCTGAATCTTTGGGTTCCTGGAATTATTTTAGTTAATATTCTAAATATGAAATAGTGATGACTTTATTTCACTCTGTGTTTGCATTTGTACTTTTTTGCTTTAGTGTTCATTGTAAAAAGGCAGGTAAAGGCTAGCCCTATATGTGAGTATATAGCTATCACCTAGGGATTACTCTGGGCCTCGTGTAATAAACCTGGCTATAGCAGCTTACCCAGATAGGGCTTCATTTGCTCACAGAACACGAAGTCCAGAGGTAGGTAATCTAGGGCTGGTGACAATGGTTCCATGATGTTGGCAGTGCCAGCACCTTTAGTCCTTCTGTTCCTTCAACCTTAGCATATATGGTTTTCAATGTCTCATTTGCCTAATTTTTATAAATAGCTGCTCCTTCTCCAGTCTGCATCAGAAAAGAAAAAAATTTCTAGAAATCTCCAGCATATATTCTCCTCACACTTTGTTGACCAAGTATGTGATCACCCATAGCTACCAGGGAAAGTGGGAAAAAAAATTTTTTTTAAGGGCACATTGACTTCCTAAACAAAATTGGAGTCTTATTAGTAAGGAAGAAAGAATGGAATTAATGGGCAACCAGCAGTGTCAGTTACATAATGTTTTAAGATTAAAGATAGAGCTCTTTTATAAAGACTTTATAGAATTTGTCTCAATTTAGAATATTGGGTTATAATAAAATACTCTAGAAATAGATCTCTTTTCTCACACTTTTAGGTAGTTGAATTGGGGTGACATGTTCTCTTTGTTTTGGGAGCCATAGTGTAGTGTCTTAGAACATAGATTTTGGATTTGGCCTTGAGTTTGAGTTCTACCTCTCCTTCTTTCTGGTTGTGAAACACTGGCCAGACTATTTAACCTTTCATAAGGTTTCCTGATTCATAAAACATGGCATAGGTTTATTGTGAAGATTAGAGTTTATGACTTAAATCCCTTATTTCTACATGTTATGAACTAGAAATGTTAGTTTTGTTTCTTTTTTTTAGTGAATTAAACATTTTCCAAAAATTAGGTATAAGCTTTTTATATAACTTTAAAATTTTTAGTGTGCCAGAAAATTTTTTTTATAATGCTTAGATGTGAAATGTGTGGTGATGTTTTGTAGAAACAGTTCGTGACTATGAACACCAGTTCCACCTTAGGTTGGAGCAGGAGCGGACACAGTGGGCACAGTATAGAGAATCTGCAGAGAGGGAAATAGCTGATTTAAGAAGAAGGCTGTCGGAAGGTCAAGAGGAGGAAAATTTAGAAAATGAAATGAAAAAGGTATGAAGGAATGTGTTCATATGTAGAAATATTTGAATCCAAATGCAAAGTGCTTTAATATTGTGGTGGTAATAGAAGTACTTTTGTGTTTTCTGTTAGAGAAATTATTTGGGCACAGACTTAACTATAGTTCTAAATAATGTCATGCGCTTCTTCCAGATACATCTATGGCTCACTCTCTCTCCCTCTTCAAATCTTTGCTGAAATGTCTCCACCTCATGAGGCCTATCCTGACCACCCACCCTATTTAACAGTGCAGCCTGCCCTCCTCGTTCCCCCACCTACCACTACTGTACTGATCTCCCTCATCCTGCTCTGGGTTTTCTCTTTCCATAGCACGTATTTCCTTATAGTACACAGAGTTCACCTATTTATTGTGTTTATTGTATACTGCCCTTTCCTCCTTGCTAGAATGTAAGCTCCATGAGGGCAGGAGTCTTTTGTGTATTCTACATGCCTAGAATAGTGTCTTGCAGGTAAGTGCTCAGTAAATATTTGTTGAATGAATGTTGTTGCTCGATGATTATGTCTAAACCAAAGTTTTAGAACAGATGTTAATTTTCCTTCTTTCTCCATATCCTTTGGTTCCCATGTGGTAAGTGTACCACATATATCATATAATGCCTTGACATAGGGCAGCTAGACACATAAAGTGGGACATTCTATTAGGGAGAAAATTTAAAAAGGTTTTTAAGCAGTTTGATTGTATGAACGTTTATGCTATTTATATACAGACAGGTATTTAAAATTACATATTATATAATGTAATCTTTAGAAATTGATTTTTCAGTTGGATTTATCATTGTCTTTGGTTCCTAATCCTTGGTCCATTCTTTAAATATATATATATATATATATATTTTCATGATTTGTACAGTCTTCCCCTTCTTAACATTCTTAAAATTTTAATTTTTAAATTAAATTTTGCTTTTTAGAATAGTTTTTGAGTAACAGAAAAATTGCAAAGATAGCATAGAGTTCCCCAATACTCCATGCCCAGTTTCTCCTGTTATTAATATCTTACATTACTAGGGTATGTTTATCACAGTTAATAAACCAGTATGGATTCATTATTATTAACTAAAGTCCATTTTTGTATTCAGAGTACATTAGTTTTTACCTCTAATGTCCTTTCTTTATGTTCCAGGATCCAATCCAGGATACCACATTGAATTTAGTCATGTCTCCTTATCCTTCCCTCTTGGCTGGGACAGTTTCTCAGATTTTCCTTAGTTTTGATGACCTTTCTGTCATTTTTAAAGTGCCCTTTAAGAGCTTTATTTACAGTGACATCCAGTAATTGAAATTGTGAAGTTATCTTTACATTAATAAATAACTCAATCTGTGGTAAATTCTTTGCTTTCTTCCTTCTGTTTTTTTCTGCTGGTTTTTATCAAGTGACCTTTATAAGCATTCCAGACTAGCCTTGACTAAAGATATTTTAACCTAACTTTTCTTTTCTAAGCAATACTTTGTTCAAAATAAAATAACAGCTTTATAAGGACCTGAAAACAAAGTGAACCTGAATCCTTATTTTCTGAAAGATGTGTTTTTCTGAGGAAACTCCACCTCACATTTGGGCATTTATGATTTTGAAATTTTTTTAAGAGACAAGGTCTCACTCTGTTACCCAGGCTGGAGTGCAGTGGCCCAGGCATAGCTCACTGCAGCCCCAAACTCATGGGCTCAAGTGATCCTTCCCCCTCAGCTTCCTAAGTAGCTGGGACTATACAGGTATAGCAGTACACTGGCTAAGTTAAAAAAAATTTTTTTTTTGAAGATGGGGTCTTGCTGTGTTGCCCAGGCTGATCTCTAGCCCCTGGCCCCAAGCAATCCTCCTACCTTGGCCTCTAAAGTGCTGGGATTACAGGTACCGCCACACCTAGCCTGTATAATATTTTCCTTATCCTGAACATTTTAGGATAAGTTGAAAATCATTTAAATTCAGTAAATTACGTTAATTTTCATTTTCAGTAGGAGAAAAATCCAACTTTTTTTCCCTGACTAACTCCTAGTACCTCAGACAAAATCAACTTTTTGAGTCTACCTTTGTTTCTCTTGTGTGTTTGTGTATATGTGTGTGTGTGTGTGTATATATATCTATGAAAAATGAAAATTTAGTTTTTCACTGGTTCAATAGTTTATGGAAGTTGTTTTAATCCATGTTTTTGAGAATGGAGTTTGGAAAACAACTCTGATAGTTTTTGAGTTCATTTTTTAGGTTTTTTAATTTAGACATTAAAAATAAAATATTTAAAGTACTCTGTTTAAACAATTGGGTAGAAGTCTTTTTATAGCAACATAATTTTCTGATATTTTAGAAAATACATTGTTCTACTTTGTGTGTTTAAGATATCATCAGCCCTTTCAATATTCATACAAAATTATGGTCTAATTAACTTTGTAACCAGAAATTGTAAAAATTATTATTTGTACTTCCTTTTCTATATGGGATATTTTCTTAAGTGAAAAATGAAATTTGTCCTAGTGAACCCATTTTCCTACTTATTCCTAAATTCTAAATGGAATATTTGGGAAAACTCTGATTATGACCAGACATTCCCTGTAATATATTATTTAAAGTTTAGATGTGGTTAAGTTTTATGGGTGTTTATGTGGTTCCTGGTAGAAATTATTTGTTATGCTAATTTTCAACAAATAGAAGAGTCAGAGTTTCTTAGTAAAAGCTATAAATAAGTTGTAGCATTTAATTCTTTTTAACCATAGGCTCAAGAGGATGCTGAAAAACTTCGTTCTGTTGTGATGCCCATGGAGAAGGAAATTGCAGCCTTGAAGGATAAACTGACAGAGGCTGAAGACAAGATTAAAGAGCTGGAGGCCTCAAAGGTTGTGAAACATTGTAATCCATTTTCTTTGAACTCAAGATTCTGCCCTAATGCCATGAACAAAATTAAAATCAGTAAGAGGGAAAATACTGTAATTTAGAATATGCATCTTGAGAGTCTTTCTTTTTTTAAAATGTGGAAAACTGCTTTGAGATGGTTTTGCCCTTATGGATATTTTTAATAATCACAATAATGATGCTTTTTCACAAGTGGCTGCTTTGTCATAAAGTTAGTATTCATTTTCTTACCAAAGGAGACCTGGTCTCTTTCATTTTCTTACCAAGGAAAATAAACTGTTCAAAGTTGACTTTGTTTTGTGATGCCAGCCCTAGAATTGATCTTATCTTTTAGAGATAATCTAGCTATAGTATGCCTGAATTTGTTGGCCATAAAGACACAGGAGAGGAAATACAAAGGGAATGTTGAAAATTTTAATAATTAAAAGGAAGTAGGAACAAAAGAAACAAGGAAAAAAGGTAAACAAAAGCACAAAATAGGAATGTAAAAATGAATGGGAATGTATGAATAGTCCTATAAGTGTAAACTGATACCTACTTTTAAAAGAGATTATCAGACTGGATTTTAAAAATCTAACTTTAGGGAAGGTGAGGTGGCTCATGCCTGTAATCCTAGCACCCTGGGAGGACCAGGCAGTGGGACTGATTGAGGTTAGGAGTTTGAGACCAGCCTGAGCAAGAGTGAGACCCTCATCTCTATAAAAAATAGAAAAATTAGCCAGGCGTGGTGATGCTCACCTGTAGTCCCAGCTACTCAGGAGAATGAGGCAAGAGGATCACTTGAGTCCAGGAATTTGAGGTTGCTGTGAGCTATGATGATACCATTGTACTCTAGAGCAAGAGCCTGTCTCAAAAAAAAAATTAAAAAATTAAATAAATAAATAATATGCACCAAGAAAAGAGAATAATAGACTAGAAAGCACAGAAATCATCCCATATATATGTGGGAATTTGGTATATGATAGGTGGCATTACAAATCAACGGGGGAAGAATCGATTGTTAAAAAATGTTTTTCAAATAAGTTATAAGTACAGAATGAAGTCAAATTAATTTTCTGCCTCACACCTTACAAAAATCAATTTCAGTGAATTAAAAGCCTAAGAGTGAAAAGTAAACCTGTAAAACTTGTAGATGTTAAAAAAGAGATTATGTTGTTGGGGCTCAAAAAAGATTTCTTAAATAAGACAAAAATATTGACTGAAAGAAAAGTTGACAAATTTTAGCTACATTAGAATATGAACTTCCTTGTTAAAAGATATTAATACTACAAAAAGTTGAAAAAAGAAGCTATGGACTGTGAGAAGATAGCTATACCTCATAGTATAACTGACAAAAAATTAATATCCAGAATAATAAAAAATTGCCAAGTCTACAAGTGCCAAATGGTTCAGTAGAAAACCTGGTATAGCATAAGAGCGATCAGTTCACAAAATAGGAAACAAAATAGTAGAGCTATGTGAAAAGGTATTCATCCACACTGGAAATCGGGGAAATGTAAATCAAAGTGGGATGCCTTATTACCCTAACCAGGTTGCAAGTCTTATAGAACAAATTGGCACATTCCTCTGCTATTGGAGTATGCAAAACTCTGTTAGGAATTCATTATTAATTAGGTCAAATGTTTATTCTATAAAGTAATAGCTGGCAGAATTAGTGGTTATGTACAAGCATTTTATGTCTGCCCCATTGACTGTATTACCATCAGCTGAATTGCCATCCGTTTCAGGTGTGAGGGAAAGTGCGTCACAGTAGTCAGCACTTGGCCATTCTTTGTTAATCTCTTGTGGTTTACTGAAAGCCTTCAGTGAAGCCTCAAATGATGGCTTAAGTAATCATTTTAGTCTCTGATTAGTATTATGTGATGGTCTAGGAGTAAAGATAACTGAAAACAGATAATCCAGCTATTTTAAGTTTGAAAAAATAGAAAGATAAAAGGCATGAAAATGACCTTGAATATGAAATTAGACATAACCATTTGAAAAAGTTGAAAGTTAACCTAAGGGTCAGAATTTAGGATAGACAGTTTATAAGACAGAGTAAAGTAGTGATGTTATAATCCTAGGTTTTCTGGGGCAGGATTGTATTTTATTTTGGTTATAACTTTCAGATATTAGGCTGTATTGTTAAATATTTTGAGTATTATAGTTAATTATTCAAGGAAAAGCATTTTTTAAAAAGATGTGATTTTAAAAAGTATAATAGTGTTTCTATACAAACTTGCCTTCAAGTTTGTGTCATTGCAGTGTGAGATTATTTTTTCCATCATGACTTCCCTGTGTTTAATTGCCAGGAATATACATATCTGTGAAAATATTTCCCTTGTATAAATTTAAGGCATTGGGAATTACTTACCAGAAATCAAAGAAAAGCAAACTTTACGAGTATGGTTTAATTTTTATCCTGAGAAATTAACTACTTTTTAAAAAAAGCAAAAGATACCTGTGTTAGTGAATATGGGTTAAAACAGGCATGTGCATACCTTGCTCTGGCAATGCAAATTGGAACTACCTTTTTGAAAAACAAGTTACAAAATGGTTATTTGTAATATCAATTGTCTATTTACTCTGGTGATATGATTATCGACAGCATCTACTATTTTATTTTTCTAGTTTTTGTATTGGAAGTATGTGTTTGTTTTATAATTAAAAATTATAAATAGTAAATTTTATAGATGTAAATTTATGTGAAAGTAAATGTAGAATTTTTGAAGGCATAGCCAGAACTTACCATTATACCTAATATAGAAACTGTTGTAAATTTCAGTGTAATAGAATTGCATCTTCATTTAGGTTAAAGAACTGAATCATTATCTGGAAGCGGAGAAATCTTGTAGGACTGATCTAGAGATGTATGTAGCTGTTTTGAATACTCAGAAATCTGTTCTGCAGGAAGATGCTGAGAAACTGAGGAAAGAATTGCATGAAGGTAAATGTATATTTTGTATATTTTTATCTCAGTCTCTGAGACAACTGTGTAAGTAAAAATTGATATTGACTAATAACAGTAACAGATCCTAAAATAGCAATGTGATATGTTAGTGATTCAGTTTAAGCTTTGTAATTGGTTTGAATGTTCTCATGAAAAGCTGAAATTGTGACAACAACTAAAGATTCTTGGATTGTTAATGGCTTCTCTTATCTCCATGACCTCAGTAATAACTTTAAAGGCATAAGCTTTGGGCAGAAAGCCAATAAGGGTGGAAAGTATATTAGCAAAGGTGAAAATGAGAAGGAGAGGGCAATTTATTCTGGAGCCCTTAAGTAACATCTTTGTTTATAAGGGACAATTTTGATTTCACCAGTTTGGTAGCAGAGTGATTGTTTTCCAGGGATAGGAGAAGAAGGCTCACTTTTTCCCCATTAAAATAAAAATATACTTTTATCTTCAATTTTTCTAGTGACTTCTATATACCTGGGGTTCTTAACCTTTTTGTGTCATAGATTCCTTTGGCAGTCTTGTGAGCCCCCTCAGTATATTTTTTTTTTTTTGAGACAGAGTCTCGCTTTGTTGCCCAGGCTAGAGTGAGTGCCGTGGCGTCAGCCTAGCTCACAGCAACCTCAAACTCCTGGGCTCGAGTGATCCTTCTGCCTCAGCCTCCCGGGTAGCTGGGACTACAGGCATGCGCCACCATGCCCGGCTAATTTTTTATATATATATCAGTTGGCCAATTAATTTCTTTCTATTTATAGTAGAGACGGGGTCTTGCTCAGGCTGGTTTCGAACTCCTGACCTTGAGCAATCCGCCCGCCTCGGCCTCCCAAGAGCTAGGATTACAGGCGTGAGCCACAGCGCCCGGCCAGTATATTTTTAGTATATAAGATACAGTATATTTTTAGTGTGTAAAGTACAATATATTTTTAGTATATAAAATATATTTTATTACAAAAGAAACCAATTATATTATAAAATAGTTATCAAGATACTAAAAAAATCAAACATACAATATATAATACACTGCTTATATATGCTAATATCACTTATATAGTAGTAAGTATATAGTAATGTGCTATTTTATTAATATATTACTTGTGCTGTTTTGATAATGCATTAAATTATTGAGATATAATTCATATATCATGGAGTATACAGTTCAGTGGTTTTTACTGTAGTCACAAAATTGTGCCCCATTACCACTAATTCCAAAATATTTTCATTACCTCAAAAGGAAATCCTCTACCCATTTGCAGCCACTCCCTATTCCCCCTCCTCTAGACCCTGGCAACCACTAATCTTTCTATCTCTATAGACTTGTCTATTCTAGACTTTTATGTGAATGGGATTTTACACCATGTGCCCTTTGGTATCTGGCTTTTCTGAAGGGTTTTAATCTGGAGAGTGCTAATACCAGTTTTGCAGTTTTAGAAAGTTCGATCTAATAGCAGTATGGAGAATATAATAGAGAGGGGGCAAGACTGAGGGCAGGAAGGATTAAAAAGGGGCTACTCTTGTAGTTGTCTAAGTCATAATGGCTTGATCCAAGGCAGAAGTCAGAAGATAGATGTGTCAGACTGCAAAGGAGGCAGAATTAGTAGGTCTGTGTCACAATTGAATATATGGGGATGAGGAAAAGTAAGAAGTATGAATTGTCTTAGGTTTCTGGTGTGGGTGGCTGGGTGGATAGATCACGCTACCTATTCTTTTTTAGTAGATGGTTGAGCTAATGAGTATTAACATTACAGACATTTTAGAAAGATTCTTTGACTTTTTATGCATGAGAGGTCTAAACTAACTGGACCTAAGAAAGATGTCTGGATGACAGATTTATCAGAATGTATTAAACAAAAGTAGGAGTGGTTCCTACACTTTTGGTCTTCAGAGCAATGTTTCCCAAAGTATATTCCCTAGAATACTTACTATTTGAGTTGCATGTGACAAAGGGTTTATTTTGTCAAATAAATTTGGCAAATTTATATCACCTTACAAGAAAACATAGAGATAATTGTGACCCTCAGCTCAAAGTCCTGTAGTAAAGAACTCTTTAAAATTTTATTTAACCTGGGTTTTCTAAAAGTTACTGAGCACAGAAATTTTTATTTGATATGTTCCTATGGATACATTTTGGGAGACATTGCTTTAGAGCGATGGAGTGGGGATAGCTGCCATTTTCAGCTACAGGTTGCCTCTTGTTGCCACTCAAGGACAGAATCTCAGACACATGGACCAGTGGTCAGACCTGGGCTAGTAGTCCTGTGCTAAAGAAATTGCCTACCATTAAAATTCAGTGTTTTTGATCTGGGGGTGGTTCCTAAACAGTTTGCCATCTCTTGGAGCAAGAGCGACAACAGCACAACCAGTTAAAACATACATGGCAGAAGGCCAATGACCAGTTTCTGGAATCTCAGCGTTTACTGATGAGAGACATGCAGCGAATGGAGATTGTGCTAACTTCAGAACAGCTCCGACAAGTTGAAGAACTGAAGAAGAAAGATCAGGTGAATACCAATTTTGTAGGACTTGTTTGCTTTGTTAAAAACACATCCCCTACCCCCAACATGATTGTATTATTTTACGTATGTTAGAGATTAACTTAAGCTGAAACAAGGTGATGTGTGTGACTTTAAAAAACATAATAGTTGTGTTTGAGGGATTTTGTTTTTCAACTATAGGGAATGACCCACTAGAATGACCTAGTTTGTGGGAAAAAACTGATTTAGAAATGATCTTCTTCATAAACTGCAGGATGCGTATTTGTGAGAAAATGTTTCTCTGCAGTGCTGTCCAGTTCTCCATAGGCTCTGGAGTTTTGTCAGTCCAGGCCAAGGCTTTGGTGATGTTGCTCTAAAAGCCTTCTTAGGAGGTGATATGATATAGATGGAGAGGCTGAGTGATAGAAAAGGCAGGTGTCCAGAGTGCTGCATACTCAAGATCCTGTTTTCTCCTAATCTTTAAAAAACATTTTTAAGTTATATGATTAATACACAAATCTATTCTCATGTTAAATTTTTTTTTGTTTTAAAAACAAAGTGAAAGAATAAAATAAATATAAAGTAATCAAGTAAAAATCTCCCTTGACATCTACACCTCCCCTTCCCAGAAGTAACTGCTTTTACCAGTTTGGTAGGGAATCTTCCAGAATAGTTCTATGTGTTTATGAATATGTGTTTAGGGTGGTTGCCTCCTATTCCCATATAACAATAGCTAAAATGCTGTACTTATTCTATAGTTTATTTTTGCCATAAACATCCTGGATATATTGTCATATCAGAGTTCTATCTCATTAACTGGTAGCATAATTGATTTAATCCTTCTTTCTTGTAGTGGGCATCTAGGTGGTTCCCCTCCCAGCCCTTCTTTTTGTCATTTCAAATAGTATAACAGCTAATATCCTCAACCATGTTACTTATGTGGGCCAATATTACCCTGGAATAGCTACATAAAAGCATTCACTGCCTTTCTAGGTATTTTAAACAATATTTCAAATTGCCTTATATGACTTATATTAGATTTTGTTTTTCAGAAGTTTATTCTTTTTTAAGTTTGTTTTTTTTTGTCTCTTAGTTCTGACTCATTCATCTTGTGTGTAGACACAGTCAACATAAGGATTCATATTGTAAAGTACAGATACTGGCTGGGTGCAGTAGCTCAGGCCTGTGATCCTAGCACTCTGGGAGGCTGAGGCAGGAGGATCGCTTGAGGTCAGGAGTCCAAGACCAGCCTAAGCAAGAGCATGACCCTGTCTCTACTACTAAAAAAAGAAAAACTAGGTGGGCATCATGGCGCATGCCTGTAATCCCAGCTACTCAGGAGGCTGAGGCAAACGGATCGCTTGAACCCAGGAGTTTGAGGTTGCAGTGAGTTATGATGACGCCACTGCACCCTACCCAGGGCAACAGAGCAAGACTCTGTGTCAGAAAACTGTACAGATCTTATCATGCCTACCCTGAGGCCCATTAAAGCAGTCTAAACTTTACAAAGATGGTCTTTTATGGCCTTTATGAACATTTATTGAGCTTTCTATGTGGTAGCATTGTGCTAACGTTTTATATATAAAGCTTTATCTCCAGTCATTCTCAAAAAGCAAAACTCTCCATATGAGGTAGGGACTACAGTTATACAATTACTGTATTATAGATTAGGAAACAGGCTGAGGGGTTAATGACACATCTGCGATTTGAGCCAAATCTGATTCCAGAGTCAAAATACTTCATCACCACCCCGTTCTCCATGTCCCTCACTTCTCATGTGCCTACCCATTTTTCATTCATATTAGATTACTCAATATTTCTCCCTATGGCCTGCATTCCCATGCCTTTGTCTTTTGTATGTGCTTCCTTTCTCCTTAGAACCCTTGCCTGTCTCCTCTCATGCAACTGGCAAACTTAACTTCCTGGTCTCTAAAGATACAGCTGAAGTGTTACCTCCTTTGGGCCCCCTTTGCTGGCTTGCTCAGATGAAATGAGTCATTGTTTTTCTCCTTCAATAGATCCTTGTACATACTTGTATTGTGATTATTTGTGTGTTTGTCTCTCCTCATTAGACTGTTTTGGGGCACACTGAAAGTATTTTATTCATCTTTGAATTATTAGATCAACTTTAATCATTCCTTTTGTATTTCATGTAAAGTTGTTTCATTTTCTTTTTTTTTTTTTTTTTTTTTAGAAACAGGGTCTCACTCTATTGCCAGGCTAGAGTACAGTGGCATCATAGCTCACTGCAACCTCAAACTGCTGGGCTAAAGCAGTCTTCTGTCTCAGCCTCTCAAGTTGCTGGGACTATAGGCATGTGCCATCATGCCTGGCTAACTTTTTTACTTTTGTAGAGATGGGGTCTCGCTCTTGCTTAGTCTGGTCTTGAACTCCTGGCCTCAAGCAGTCTTCCCACCTTGGCCTCCCAAACTGTTAGGATTTCAGGCATGAGCCACAGAGCCAGGCCTATACTTTCTTCTAATGGATAATGTTATAGCTTTTAATTATTTGTTTTCTACAATAAATAGAAGGAATATTCTATGTAAATGTTCCCTTCTTAGATCAGTTGAAGGAGGTAGGTTTTGCTTTCTTTTGTTTTGCCACTTTCACACAGTATACTTTTCTTGGCAGCTGCTTCCTGATTTCTTCTTTATACCAGGGTTCCTACTTTGCACTCGTGGCATTAAAATGTTTTCATGACCAGAAGCCCTTAGATTTGATTACAAAACAAATAAGCTTAAGTGTCCAGTTTTCTCTAATCATAAAACTCAAAACAGAGCTCTTATTTGTTTTGAGTGGTTAAAGGACTGTATGACTTATTAAGGACATTACCTGGGTAATATATATATATTTTTTCTTAACCTTTAGGAAGATGATGAACAACAAAGACTCAATAAGAGAAAGGATCATAAAAAAACAGATGTTGAGGAAGAAGTAAAAATACCCGTAGTGTGTGCTTTAACTCAAGAAGAATCTTCAGCCCAGTTATCAAATGAAGAGGTATAGTGAATCTGTAATTAATATCATTAAATATACAAGGTCACCATTTTGAGCTTACTCATAATCATCAGTTAATTCTTCATATGGGAAGTATATAACCACTGGAAGCTGTATAAAATGACCGTATTATTTTCAGTTGTTTTTATGGCATTATAGGTAGCACTGTTTGAAACATGTTGCAGTTTGATTCACTGTCTGAAGTAATTAGATGTTCTTTTTTCCAATGGTTCCAAAATTTAATACATTAAAAGAAATCTTTAAATAATTCTGTAAAATCGTTTTTGATGTGAACTATGCATGTTGTTAATACTTTGAGCTTTTTGTTTAAAAGTGATTCTCTAAAATGTTGAAACATTGTTCTTCCTGTAGCACATAGATGAGTATTAACTGATATTAGATCTGAAGCCCTGAGAACCTGTGAGTGAGGTTTGGCAGATTGTGATGAAGCAGGGTAAAACATTTCAGGTATTTGGAATCGGGAGAGTGGAGAAACTGGAAGTATAAAGTGGTGTTCCTAGTGGCCTCATCACCTCACACCCATAATGTTTGCAAGGGCTTCCTCATCTGGTGTCCTGTCTTTAACCTGTCCTGCTCTGTTGCACCCTCAGCATTATTGTCACATTCATTTTCTTAAGGGTAGCTGCAGTAGCCAGTCCTCTACTCAGAAACCACTACTGACTTCCATACCTACATAATTATGTACAATTTCCTCAGGCAGATAATTGAGGCCATTCATTATGTCGATTCCATTTTAGCCACATTGCTCATCATCTTGTGCTAGACTCTCCACTTCCTTTGTTGGTCCTTTCATTTGGAATGCTTACTTCCCACTGCATTTCTGAGTATTGAAATCCTTCTACTCATCCTTCAGAGATCATGTTGTTGCCTTGTTTTCAATGAAAGAAATGCTGCTTTTATTGCCTTTAGGATAAAAACTAAAGTCCCTAGCTTGGTATATAAGGACTTTCACACTTGAATGGCCTTTCTAGTCTCACCCACTGCTCTCCACTTCTCTATAGCCAGACCTAGCTACTCACTGTCCACATTTTTGTGCCTTGTTTATACTGTCCCTGCTCTTTAGAAGTTTATGCTCACTTCCCCACCCCCACCTCCTTTCCTGTCCTAGTGAATGGGTTTCAGTTAAATTGAATAGGGTTCTTTTCTTCACTTGGAAAGGTATCACGTTTTTGTTGGCTTTGCAGATTTACTCTGAGCCATAAATAATCTACTTCCTGGTGGCTTATATTTCCATGTTTATGGATAATTTGACATTAAAGAAAACTTGAAAAAAAATCCTAGTAGTCACTGAAAAGTTCTGCATGTTGTAGTTATTTTTGTACCTTCTTTGTTTTGGGACATACACTGATGACCACTTGGCCTAATTCTACTGTGCATGTTTTTAATCATTAGACTCCCAGGAGAATGCCTCAATTTTTGGGTACAGCCAACTATTGCATGGTTTTTGCATCATGCAGTCATCTACCCAGGAATGTTTGAAAAGCAGGAAAACAGGAAAGGGAGATTTGCTATGATTTACAGAGAAGTATTTTTCTTATTTTTGATTCTGTGTTAACAGATCTGCAGACTTTCAGATCTAATAGTTTGCAATTTGAATGTTGGACATAATTGCTTTGGATTGCAAATCATGACACTTTAGCTGTTGGTTTAAAGTTAATATGGAATGCTTGGAGAGTTATATTTATTGCTAAAGATGTTTGAAATTTGTAGGACCACATATCTTCTTTAACCTGATATTAGAATACGCTTTTCTCACTACAAAAGCAATGCATGCTCATTATGGAAAATTTAGAAAGTATAGAAAATGTCATACAAGGTAAATAACTGGTAGATAATTCTACCACCCAGAGATAACCATCACTGAAATTTTGGTATATCTCTTTCTCTCCCCCCCCTTTTTCTATTTTTTTTTCGAAAGATAACATATGTGTTTCTATTTGTACTTTTTAAACATAATCCAGATTGTCACTATATAATATTTTATGTACAATTTTTTCCCTCTTAAATCTACTTTAAGGTTTTGGCACATCATTAAATGTTCTTCCCCAAAATGGCATTTAATGGCTGACAGAATTTCAGCATATAAATGTGCCATAATTCCTGTAGCCAATTCCCAACTAATTGATTTGTGCCCAGGTTTTAGTTTATCAAGGTGACTGAGTGATGATACAGAGAGGTCAGTGCCATTGGAAAAAGTTGTATGTTCCTGGGAGTCCCCCTGGAAACAGAGGCACATGCCACACAGGGCCATATGGGGAAGCATCAGAGCTGGGCAGGAAGTAGAAGTAGGAGCCAGAGAAAGCATGGGCCACAGTTGTCATTGGAATTTCCCTGGGAAAAGCAAGGCAGGGCAGAGTAAACAGTTTAGAACTGGCTAGATAGTAATTCTGGCAGCGTTGGGGGCATAGGGCCTGTCCTTAGTTGTTTGGCACCTAGCCCTGTGGTGATTTAGGATAGAGGAAATACTAACTTGGAGTGTGAGGATTAGGCAAAGAAGGTGGTTGGGGATATGAGTTTGGGATTGGTTGGTTTGCATATGAAAGGTATGTTCACAGGAAGGTGAATTGTTTATTATCTGTAGGAATTAGCCCTGCTAGGCACAGTTTTTTTCCTAACCAGCAAGGTCCCCAAGAAATCCAAACATTCTGAAATACAGAAAATAAACAGCATGATTAATACACTCATAGTCAAGTTGGTTTCATTTTTTACTACTATAAAATTTTCATTATTATATGTCACAATATATAATTTTTCCTTTTTCAGAAATCATGGATGTATCTGATTTTTTTTTTTAAGTATACATTCTTAGGAAAACAACTGCTGAATTCAAGAAAGTATACAAGAAAGTATATTATCTTCAAGGATGGTCCTTTAAATTTAATAAATTTAGTTTCAAGGAAAACTTGTTTTATTTTCCTTGTTTTTCTTGTTTCCCCACTAACTATGCAGCTGCCTCATGTAGTGGCACTGGTTTGCTTTTTGCCTTTGGGAATGTGCTGTACCATATGTTTTTTGAAAAATTCAGATAAAATTCACATAATATAAATTAACCACTTAAGAATACAATTCTCTTAATTGTGGTAAGGAGTAAAAAAGAAAAGAAAAAAAAAGAATATAATTCAGTGGCATTTAGTATAGACACAGTGTTACGCAACCATCACACCTAGTTTGAAAACATTTTTATCACTCCCAAAGAAGATCCCCATACCCATTAAAGAGTCCCTTCCCATTTTCCCCTCCCTCTAGCCTCTGGCAGTCACTAGTTGGCTTTATGTCTCTATGGATTTACCTGTTCTGGACATTTCATATGGATGGAATCTTTATGATATGTGACCTTTTTGTCTTCTCTCACTTAGTGTACCACATTTAATGTGTTGATTACACCTTGCTTGCAGTTTGGTTTCCAGAATACCACATTCTTCTCATTTCCCTTGTGCTACTCTGGCCACTTCTTTGCCCATCCCAAAAATGTTAGTATTTCTCAGGGTTCCACTCTTAGCCCTCTTATTCTACACACTCATGCTAGGTCTTCTAATTTACTGTTGTGACTTTAATTATCAGTATGTGACGGTTATTCCCAAATGTCTACCTAAAGACTCAGTGTCCCTCTATTAGGTGGATATTTCCACTTGAATATACAGTAGGTACCTCATGCTTGACATACCAACCGCTGAATTGCAGGTTACCTTCCCCAGCTCCTCATGTCTGGGCTAAATTCCTGTCCTTGAGCTCCTAGAGCATTCATTACATAGTTCTACCCATTCTAGCCTATCATTTTATCAAATATAGTATTGTAATAGCCTGTTTACTTGTTTATCTTTTTTATGAGACTGTACTCATCTTGAGGTCAGAGATTGTGTGTCTTGCTCACAGTTGTATCCTGAGTGCCTGGTTTAGTGCCCAGCATATAGAACAGGCGTCCTCAAACTACAGCCCACGGGCCACATGTGGGTGTTTTTGCCCATTTGTTTTTTTACTTAAATAAAATATGTGCAATGTGTATAGGAATTTGTTCATAGTGTTTTTTAAACTATAGTCCGGCCCTCCAACGATCTGAGGGACAGTGAACTGGCCCCCTGTTTAAAAAGTTTGAGGACCCCTGATATAGAAGATAGTCAATAAATTTTTGTTCAGTAATTATATGTAGGTAGCACATTAATGATTATATCATGTGTAATGACTGGCAAAATATATTTATTATACAGTAGATTTTCACTTTGAAGATACAGAGAATTGTCTAACTTAGCAATATATATTTTGACATTTCAGGAGCATTTAGATAGCACGCATGGTTCAGTCCATTCCTTAGATGCAGACTTATTGTTGCCATCTGGAGATCCATTCAGCAAATCGGACAGTGACATGTTTAAAGATGGACTCAGGAGAGCACAGTCTACAGACAGCTTGGGAACCTCGGGCTCATTGCAATCCAAAGCTTTAGGCTATAACTACAAAGCAAAATCTGCTGGAAACCTGGACGAGTCAGAATTTGGACCACTGGTTGGAGCAGATTCAGTGTCTGAGAACTTTGATACTGCCTCCCTTGGGTCACTCCAGATGCCAAGTGGGTTTATGTTAACCAAAGATCAGGAAAGAGCAATCAAGGCAATGACACCAGAACAAGAAGAGACAGCATCCCTCCTGTCCAGTGTTACCCAGGCTATGGAGAGTGCTTATGTGTCCCCTAGTGGTTACCGCTTAGTTAGTGAGACAGAATGGAATCTCCTGCAGAAAGAGGTAAGTTATCTTTCTCTTTTCCTCCTGCTCACTCTAAGGGATACTGGGTAGCTCTGGGATTTGTTGTTCATTCAGTAGATGGTGTCTGGAGGCACCTTTTGACAGCCAGTGGATATTTGCCTATGTCATCTGACCCTTGTCATAGTCTGCTTTGGCTATTATGACAGAGATTGTAACTAGCCAGTGGCATCCAGTGTGAACTTCTCCACCTGATGTTACACCTCTGAAGTTGAAGCAACCTGCCTGACTAGCATTGATGAGTTTTTCAGTAATCTGAGTTTGGTTTGCTTTGCTGTTTTCTATGATCCCCATACATTCCAAGATTCACATTCTTTCATCTTTCCTTTAGATCTAAAGTGCAAATGCTTGTCAGCTGTTGATGCTGAGAGTGAGTCTAAGGAGAGGCTGGAAAATATAGGAGAGAAAAGAAGGCAGTCTTCAATGAGATTAATTGTCCTCCTTGAAGAACTTGTAAACTCAGAAGAAAGATTAGGAGATATAAGCTTAAATATGTATTTGCATAATGCTTTACAGATTACAAAGCCCTTTCTCATTCCTGACCTCTTTGTGCTTCATGATCATAACGAGGCAATCAGGGCATGATTATCCCCAATTTAGAGATGAGGAAACTGGCTCTGAAAGATCAAGTGAGTTGCTTGAGTGTTCCCCTTGACTTAGTGGCAAAACCTGACTTCCAGTGCTTTCCTTTACTCAGGGCTGCTTCTCTTTAAAGAAGCTGTTGGTCAGTAAGTGGAATAGGTTACTAAGTCAGAAGGAAAGTATTCTAAAACAAAAACAACAAAAAAAACTATTCTCATTAGTCTTATGTATATATAATATATGTGAGAAGGTGATACTTAATAGTTTCATAGCTATTTTGTAATTGAAGCTATTAAAATTGTGAATTGGCACTATTTTTGTTTTTTCCTTCTCATTGGTCAGGCAGTATTTATATATAAGTTTTGAGTGCCACATTGTAAAGCCGTTTGCTTGCTTTGTGCTTTCCTTAAATGTTTTGTGGTGTTTTGTGGCCATTAGTCTCTTGGTGATAAGTTGTGTCCCTTGTTTTGCTATCCTACTTGAACTGGATTTTATGACTTTTAATCAACCCTAATATTACAACTTTTTGCCTTATATCCTTGAAGAAATTGTTTACTCCTTGCTCTACTTTGAGTAACATCGGTAAGACTGTGCATGTGTACCTCTAATACATGATGTAGAATTATTAATATTTTGTTCTGCGTGGTAAGAGGTAATTTTGGTGCCCTTTAGGTGCATAATGCTGGAAATAAACTTGGTAGACGTTGTGATATGTGTTCCAATTATGAAAAACAGTTACAAGGAATTCAGATTCAGGAGGCTGAAACCAGAGACCAGGTGAGTTTCTTTTGATGTGCCAAATTGGTGATCTGCTGTACTTTTCATTGGAGATGCAGAATCAATTGCCACATATGCATTAGGAAACCATATCCATCATCTTCTCTTCTGAATTTTTTTGTGAAAAAAAGTTATGAAATAATCTGCTACATGCATTGGCAGTTGCATTTGCAGTGGGTGCTCGCTAGGACTCTGTTGTAGCGTGTCTGTGCTCTGTTAACTTGCATCAGCACACGGGGCAGCCCAGCACCTAAAGGAGCACAGCTTCATTTCTCCCACCCTGCCCATTCTGCCCAAGGTCCAATAGTGAAGTTGTCATGATTTTATACACATGGAAAGTACTTTATTATATGGAGATTTGAGGAGATAAGAGGTAGACTGTTGCCTCTAACAAAATAAAAGCAGTTGAAATTTTACCCTGAAGACTTTGGGAGACATTCAGGGCTTTTAAGTTGGGAAATTATGTGATTTCACTTTTATTAAGTCATTAAATATGAAATGTCTGATTACGAATCAAAAGTGTATTGTATTATATCTCAGACAAGAAGCAGTATAATTAATCAGGGTATGCACCTAAACTATGCAGTTTTTGCCATCTTAAGGGTAGCTTGTTTATGCCAGCACGAAGAAGCCTGGAGAGTAAGTGGCTATGAAATCTTGAAAGGCGTTTTCCACAGCTTGTTGAGAATCAAATATTTTTCCTTGCAAGACTGGCCATTAAATCTTGAAAGGTGTTTTCCACAGCTTGTTGAGAATTGAATATTTTTCCTTACAAGACATGATCCAAAGCCTGCAAGAAGTGGTAGTCAGTTGGTGCAATAGTGAATATGGTGAATGACAGAGAGATTCCAAACCCAGCTTCTGTAGTTGGAACAGTGTTGTTTGTGTGACATGTGGTGGAATGTTGTCTTCCAAGAGATTTGGCCTGTCTCTATCGACCAATCTCAGCCGCCTAATTGCAAACATCCTGATCATTTCATCCAATTGGTTGCAGTAGACATCCACTGTAGTGGATTGATCTGGTTTTATGAAGCTGTAGTGGATAATAACCAGCACTGGACCACCAAACAGACACTGTTAGGTTTTTTTTTTGATGAATATTCGGGTTTGGACTGTGTTTGGCACTTTTTATCCATCCATTGTGCTGGATGCTTGCAATTGTCAGAATGAATCCATTTTTCATCACTTGTAACAATATGGTGTAGAAATGGTTCACCTTTATGTTGTGACAGCAAAGAAGGCAAGCTTTGAGACAATTTCTCTTCTGACACTTGTTTTATTCATGCAGAACCCATCTATCCAGCTTCTTTGCTTTGCTGATTTGTTTCAAATGGTCCAATATTGTTGGACTAGTAACATCAAACCTTGCTGCTAATTCATGTGTAGGTTGAGATGGATTTGCTTCTACTATAGCTTTTAGCTGATCATTATCCACCTTGGTCTCAGGATGCCCATGTAGCTCATTTTCAAGATTAAAATCACCAGAAGGGAACTTCTCAAAACATTGTACTCTGCATTCATTAGCCACATCCTTCCCAAACACTTTGTTGATATTTCGAGCTGTCTGCACTGCATTGGTTCCATGACGCAACTCATATTAGAAAACAACATGAAATTTGGACTTGTCCATGGTTTCACAAAAATTGCTCTAAAAAATACCGAAAGATAATCACAAGCCAAAACATGCATTTGCAAGACTGAGGATGTACCTTCACAATAAAAATAAAACAAAAAGTGTCAAAGTAAAATATCAGAGATATCAACTGTCAAACTTAGTACTTAAGGAAGTTGGACATTTCATACTTAATAGCCTAATATATTATAAAATGGTGTTAGTGTGGATCAGGGGTCCTCAAACTTTTTAAACGGGGCCAGTTCACTGTCCCTCAGACCATTGGGGGGCTGGACTATAGTTAAAAAAAAACTATAAACAAATTCCTATGCACACTGCACATATCTTATTTTGAAGTAAAAAAACAAGTGGGCAAAAACACCTGCATGTGGCCTGCGGGCTGTAGTTTGAGGATGCCTGGTGTGGATTATAGATTGGAGGCCAAAGCCATGGCCTAAAGGACCCAGGGGGAGAAGCAAGTATTTTCAGGTGAGATAATGTTGGTCAGAACTGATTTGTTAACTGTATAGCACAGTACACTTGTCTCTTGAGGTCATTTATTTCATTTCTTTCTGAATTGACCAATCTGTTATGTTTCTCAGGAAAAAAAGTTAGAGATTTTTTAAAATGATAGAGTTAGGAATTCTTTTAAAATTTATGAAGAATTCTGATTTTTACTTCTAATTGACTTTTTAAATTACATAGGTGAAAAAACTACAGGTGATGCTCAGGCAAGCAAATGACCAGTTAGAGAAGACTATGAAAGATAAACAGGAGCTGGAGGACTTCATAAAGCAGAGCACTGAAGATTCGAGTCATCAGGTAAATGAGGGTTTTTAGAATGTGACCCATGGGGAATGATTGGTTTTTTTTTTTAATAAAAAATTTGAAAAATTCGGCTGTGTATGGTGGCTTGTGGCTGTAGTCCCAGGTGCTTGGGAGGCTGAGGTGGGAGGATTGCTTGAGCCCAGGAGTTCCAGGCCACGGTGAGGTACAATTATGCCTGTGAACAGCCACTGCACTCCAGCCTGTGCAACATGGTGAGACCCTGTCTCTTAAAAAATTGTTTTTTACAATGAGTGAGACGTGCAACATTTGGGGGATGGACACACTTGAAGCTCTTACTTGAAGCAGGGGGTGGGGGCATGGGCAATATATGTAACCTTAACACTTGTACCCCCTTAATACGCTAAACAACAACAAAAAACAGAATGGAGAAGCACACACACAAAAAAAGGAAAATAAAAAAATTTTTTTTAAATGTAGTCATGTTTCTTTTGCCCTGAAGATTTGGAATTTTATTTTCTCTCAGATAAAAAGATCTCTTTCTGATCTTTCTGTGGTATCTCTTTTATAGGTTTTTTTTTTCCAAATAACTTTTGAAATAATTGGTCAGTGAATGTCAGAGGCTCTGATTTTCCTTTCTCCTTTTACTTTTATTAGTTAGGTTTTTGTATTTTACAAGGAACTTGCTGACAAGTAAGATACCAATTATTTTCTTTTATGCTTTTAAAAAGTATAGCATGCATAAAAAAAAAACCCAAACATACACAGATATACCAAACATAGCTTGGTATCTGTGTACCACCATTGAGATCACACAATAGAACATTTGCCAGTACCCCAAAACCCCTCAACTTCCCCCTGCACCTACAACCTTCTTCTCACAGGGAACCACTGCCCTAACTTCTAACACCATTAGATTAGTCTGTTTTTTAATTTGGGAAAGTGAAGTCATATGGTATGTATGCTTTTGTGTCTGTCTTCCTGCATTCAGCAGTGTGAGATTCTTATTCATGGTGCGTGTAGTAGTTTGTTCATTTTTATCATTGTATAGTTATACTGTGGTATGGATATATCACAATTTATCCGTCCTAATGTTGATGGATGTTTTAGTTGTTTCCAGTTCTGGGATATTTTTATAATGTTACTTTGAAATTTCTGTGTCAGGTTTGGTGGACATACTTCTGCTAGGTATTTTTCTGGGAGTGGAATGCCTGGGTCAAAATGTTCAAAATATACATTGAAAATGCCAAACAGTTTTCCAAAGTGGACGTACCAATTTGTATTCCCACCGGCAGTGTATGAGAAGAATGCCTGTGGGTCCAAGGTCTTCATTTTGCTAGTTATTAAATTATAGCCATTTTGGTGGGTGTGTAACATTAGTATTTCGTCATGGCTTAGTCTGCCCTTCTCTGATGATCATTGAAGTTATTTAGCATTTTTCACATTTATTGGCCATTTGGATATTTTGTGTGTGTGAGATTCCTGCTTAAGTCTTATGCTTATTTTTCCACTGGATTATCTGTTTTACTCTTAACTTTTTTAAAAAAGTATGATTTGTAGATATTCTTTGTATAATCTTAATAGAGCCTTTTAGTGAAATGTGTTGCAGATATGTTCTCAGTAGCTTATGTTTTTATTCGTGGTGTCTTTTGATAAACAGAAGTTCTTAATTTTAATGTAAATGTATTGAACTTTTCTTTATGGTCAGTGAATTTTCTCCTGTTTTTAAAAGAGTATTTTTCTATTCTTGAGTTATGAAGATACTCTCATATATTGTAGAAGCTTTATTGTTTGTAGTTGTTTACATTTACATTATCTAAAATCCATCTAGAACTGATTAATACACATACATGCATACACATGATGTAGATAAGGATAAAACTTAATTTTTTTCTTATGGATAACCAGTTACCATTAGTGAAAAGATTATCTTTTCCCTATTACTCTGCAGTGTCATATTTTTCATGTATCAAGTGACAATATATGCATGGGTTAGTTTGAGGACTGTGTTCTGTTTGATTGGTTTGTTTGTCTATTTTTATACCAAATTCTACACTGTGATTTGTGTGAAATAACATTTTCACTTGGTTCTTTTTTTTGAAACAGAGTCTTGCTCTGTTGCTATGGGTAGAATGCAGTGGCATCAGCATAGCTCACTGCAACCTCAAACTCCTGGGCTCAAGCCATCCTCTTGCCTCAGCTTCCCAAGTAGTTGGCCCATAGGCATGCCTGGCTAATTTTTCTATTTTTTGTAGAGACAGGGCCTCACTTTTGCTCAGGCTGGTCTCAAACTCCTGGGCTGAAGCTATCTACCTTGGCTTCCCAGAGTGCTAGGATTATAGGCGTAAGCCACCATGCCCAGCCTACTTGGTTCTTTTTTTCATGTTTTTATTTCTCTCTTGAGAGCTATCTTTTTATTTGTTTCAAAAGCATTTACGTTTATCTCATGGAGCATAGTTGTAATAGCTACTTAAAAGTCTTTGATAATTCCAACCTGGACCATTATATGTTTGGCATTTGTTCATTTTCTTTCCTCTTGAGCAGGGGTCCTCAAACTTTTTAAACAGAGCCAGTTCACTGTCCCTCAGACCATTGGAGCGCCGGACTGTAGTTTAAAAAAAATGAACAAATTCCTATGCACACTGCACATATCTTATTTTGAAGTAAAAAAAAAAACACACACACACAAAAAAAAAACAACGGGCAAAAACACCCGCATTTGGCCCACGGTCCATAGTTTGAGGACTCCTGCTCTTGAGAATTGGTCACATTTTCCCTGGTTCTTTCTCTGTCTGGTACTTTTATACTGCGTCCTGGGAATTACGAGTTTTTATTGCGAGACTCTGGGTTCTGTTAAAATCTTCTGGAGCATGTTTATGTTTTCAGTTTTTTGTTTTAGCAGGCAGTTAACCTGATTAGGTTCAGTTCCCAAGTTCTGTTTTGCCTTCTACCGGTGATAATTCTAACACCAATTCAGTTTTAAAAGCCTTTGCTATGCGGCTTTGGGTCTATCCTTGTATGTGTAGCTCAGAGATGAGTGTGGGACTTGTGCTAATTCATATGCAGAATTAGGAGATCCTTTTCTAGAGCTCTCCTCTCTGAGATTATCCCTGTGCTAGCTGGCTCACAGGAACCCTGTTTCTGGGCCAGCGGCCAGAAAACTTTTATCTCCTGTACTGCTGCAACTGTTAGAGTTTCAAAACTGGGGCTGCCATCAGGCCAGTGCTGATGAGACAGTAAGAAAGAAGAATAAATGAACAGGAAACTACTCCTGTATGGGTTGCTTCTTCTGGTTTTGATTTCCCTTCCCAATTTGTCTGCTTTTGTTTCCTTTTCAGAGTCCTAAAGTAGTTGTTTTTTGTATTTTGTCAAGAGTGTTGAGTTGTAATCAGAGAGAGAGAGACAGAGACAGAGAGAGAGAGACAGTCAGTCCATAGTGGGCTTAGTCCATCTTGGACAGCACCAGAAGTCTCAATTCTCTTATGTTTTTGTTTATCAGACATCTTTTTCTTTCCACTTCATTCAAAAAGATAATTTTGCTAGGTGTGGAATTCTCAGCACTTAATGTTATTTTCTTTCAGTGCTTTGAAGTTATTCCATTGCTTCTGGCTTAGCTATCTATCTTATTCTTACTCCTTTGAAGGTAAAATGTTATTTTTTCCCTGGCTATAAAGATGTTCTTTTTGTCTTTTGTTTTTAGCAGTTTTACTGTGCAATGCTTAGGTGTATTTTTCTTCATGTTTTTCCTGTTTGGGCTTCACAAGGATTCTTGCCTCATAATTGGACAATTCTCAGCCATTATGACTCGTTTAAAAACTTGTGTTTATTGACATACACACAGTAAAGTGCACAAGTCAATTGTACAATTTGATTAATTTTTAACGTGAAAAATTTTACCACGGTAATCTTCACCCAGATCAAGATGTACATTTCTAATATACTCATGCCCTTTACTAAATACCTCATCTACCTATACATAGAGGTAACCTACCATTCTGCCTTTTAACACTGTGTTTTAGTTTTGCTTGTTCTTGAACTTCATATTAAATGAAATTATAAAATATGTAGCCTTTTGTGTTTAGTCTGTTTGATCATCATTAGAATCATTGAGATTCATCTGTGAGATTCATCCATATTGTTTGGTGTGGCAGTAGTTATTTTTTTAATGGTTTGAATATTCTCTTATTGGGATATACCATTATTTATCTATACTACAGTTAAGAGACATTTAAGTTGTGTCTAGTTTTTGGCTATTGTAAATTTTCCGTGAATATTCTTATACATGTCTTTTGATGGCCATGTGGACTAATTGCTCTTGAAAATATATAGGAATGAAATTAGGCGGTTCTTACATAGGCTTAGTTTTCAACTCTACTAGATATTTCCATTGGCCGTTATTTCTTTGACCATTTATTCATGTTAAACCTCATTATGTCTATATGCTTTTTAACCTCTCTTCTATATTTTTCATCTTTTTGTCTATATATTCTTCAAATCTGTCTTTTAGTTCACTAATTTTTTCTTCAAATTGATTTTATCTGTAAGCCCATCCATTGAATTTTTAATTTAGGTAAATGTTTTTTTTAGTTTATTGTTTCCATTTGGCTATTCTTCATTGTTTCCAGTTCTCTGGTAATTCTAAATATTGTCTTTTAAATCTTTGAACAGACCAAGTCACATAGTTGAATTAATTGTAGACCTGTTTTTATTGTCCATTTTGTTTTTTATTGTGCATTTTTATTTAAGTGCTAGACGTTGTATGTAAAAGATTGTGAAATAATAGAAAGCTTAAGATAATGCCATTTCCCTTATGAGAGGTAGGCAACTAGTGGTATTACAATTCTGAATCACTTTAATCCAGTTATATAGGAATTGAGATTATATACAGTTAGGAAGGTCGGATTATTTACAATTCTTTTCCTTTCTTGAGGGTGTGGCCTTTTGTGGGGACTCAACTCAAAGTGCAGGATGTTTACCAGGGGTCCTTTTTCTTGCTGGTTCCTGGACTCTTTTGCTACTCTATCCTGGGGCTCTCAAACTCTGCTCAGCTTCTCACTGTCACATCTATTTCTTTTGGCACATGTTGCTAGAAAACTGTTCCAGATGCTTCATTTCATTCTCCATGTGTCCTCATCCTGGTCCTTTTCTCTATGGTTCTTTTTTGCTTTGTTTTTGCTTTTTTGCTTTGTTCTCCAAAGCCTTCCAGTAGATATATTTTATTTTTGTTCAGTTTTTCTAATTATCAATAGCAGAATTGGTTCACTTACCCAATTTGCCACTATTGGAATCAGAATAATGACAGTAATTTTTTTTAAATGTCTAAACAAAATTATTTCCATTTATACTACAATTTTTATGTATGAGTCATCAATTTTCAACTAAACCCCTGCTCAGGGACATTAAAACTAATTCAAGGAAGTTTAGAGTTCAATGGTGTTATTCAGGTATGTATTACTCTTAAGTAAATCATCTTAGAAGATTATAGCTAGTTCAGAAAATATTGATTTGTTGTTTAAATGTGTGCTTTTTGTGTGGACAGGGTTTCAATTTTTCATTGATTTTTCTCCCCCCTCTTTAAAAAATCTATGGCTGGGTCCCGTGGCTTATGTCTGTAATCCCAGCACTTTGGGAGGCTGAGGCTAGAGGATCACTTGAGGGTGGGAGTTGAGACCAGCCTGGGCATCATAGCAAGACCTTGTCTCTAAAAAAAAAAAAAAAAATAGAAAAAATTAGCCAGGCACATGTCTGTAGTCCCAGCTATTTGGGAAGCTGAGGCAAGAGGATTGCTTTAGCCCAGGAGTTTGAGGTTGCAGTGAGCTATTAATATGATGATACTACTACCCTCTAGCCTGGACAACAGACTGAGAGCCTGTCTCCAAAAAAAAAAATCTAGAACTAGGTCACATGAGTTAATATCTGCCTAGAGACCCATGTAATGCTGTTTGTTCATGTATGGCAGCACATGACTCAGAGCTTTGGTACTGCCTTGTTATATCTAAAAGGCTGAGGCTTTTGCATACAGCAGACGTATATATCTGTTGAATGAGTGATGAGTGGTTAGCATGAGCTAATAAAATATCAATTCTGGGTACTAAATAATCAGGAGGGGGGAAGGGTTAGTTTTAGAATAACCAGTTTCTTAACTGTATATTTTCTATGTATGCATTGTTTTTAAAAGATCTCTGCACTTGTCCTAAGAGCCCAAGCATCTGAGATCTTACTTGAAGAATTACAACAAGGGTTTTCCCAGGCAAAGAGGGATATTCAGGAACAGATGGTAAGTTGACATTTTAAATAAATGATTACTATGTTATATATATTCCTTTTCCTTCTGTATTGACATCATCTTTGATATGACTTTATCACTCTGTCTAAAGTGTGGTTACTGTTATGTTCTCTAGTGCCTATAGACATTAGTAATGGGAAAAATATTGTAAAGACATTATTCCTTTTATAAACATACCTCCTAACCAAAAAAGGGTTTTTTTTCATCTTTAATTTCATTTATTTTTCTGATTTGGGAAGCCTAAACAGAATAAACTATGGACCAACATTTAATTTTCAGTTTCAAATATGAGCTAAATGATTGAAATCTCTGAGAGCCCTAGCTGGTACAGGCTTTAAATAGTCAATTGTGCTTTTCTTGAATGGCTGATTTACTTAGAACAACCTAGTTAATTTCATAGGGGTTATGGAAAAAACATGTGACTATTGTGGTGCTGGGGAATTCCAGAAGGCCATCAATTCTGAGAGGGATGGGGACAAAGAGCATCTTGAGCAAGGGCTGGCTGGAATCTCTGTGGAACAGTTCTCCAGGTGTGGGCTTCCCTCCTCACCAGTCTGCCTGTGTTTGCCTTGTTCTTCCTTTTTCTCAAAGTTGGAACCCTGCATCTGATAGCCTTATATAAATTATAGCAGAGTTGTCCTGCTGGGATGATCCTACAAAGCTGCCTATTACTCAGCTCTTTCTGGGATGACAGTTAAAACAAAAATAAAAACAAATAAACAAAAATGCCTCAGGTAGAATGGTGATGGCTTGTTTTTGATTAGTATATTGAATGGCCTTTGGGCTGATCCCTGAATCCTAGACTTGGTCTGTTGGGAAGCCTCTCATCCTAATCACTGACCAGAGACTTTCATATCTTTTTTCTAATTAGAGAATACAAAATAATAACATTGGCCTAAAAGTTACTGTTAGATGCTGATAAAGTTTCCTACACTCTTTTGGCCCCTTACATCTTTTCTTGTCTTTTAAAACCCATTTGCCTTTGCAAACACTTCAAGTTGGTTCCACTTAAAATGAATGTTTGCAAGTGTCATTGGAGAATAGTTGTAACTAAGGCTGAGGTACTATGAACTCTAATACTTTGCTATTTTGTTGAAATTACTATGAATAGTTTCTATGCTAAGTAAGAGAAACTCAATTTCTTAGGCCCCTTCTGAGAAGAATGTTTATAGTAGGGGTTGGGATCTTAGTATTTTCCTCTAACTTTTTATTTTGAAAAATTTCAAACTTAAAGAAAAATAGGGGCCGGGTGCAGTGGCTCACGCTTGTAATCCTAGCACTCTGGGAGGCCGAGGCAGGCGGATCACTCAAGGTTAGGAGTTCGAAACCAGCCGGAGCAAGAGCGAGACCCAGTCTCTACTATAAATAGAAAGAAATTTATTGGCCAATTAAAAAAAAAATATATATATATATATATATATAAAATTAGCCGGAGGCCAGGCGCGGTGGCTCACACCTGTAATCCTAGCACTCTGAGAGGCCGAGGTGGGCGGATTGCTCGAGGTCAGGAGTTCAAAACCAGCCTGAGCAAGAGCAAGACCCCGTCTCTACTATAAATAGAAAGAAATTAATTGGCTAACTAATATATATAGAAAAAATTAGCTGGGCATGGTGGTGCATGCCTGTAGTCCTAGATACTCGGGAGGATGAGGCAGTAGGATTGCTTGAGTCCAGGAGTTTGAGGTTGCTGTGAGCTAGGCTGACGTCATGGCACTCAATCTAGCCTGGACAGCAAAGTGAGACTCTGTCTCAAAAAAAAAAAAAAAAAATTAGCCAGGCATGGTGGCATATGCCTGTAATCTCAGCTACTCCAGAGGCTGAGGCAGAATGATTGCTTGAGCCCAGGAGTTTGAGGTTGCTGTGAGCTAGGCTGACGCCACCGTACTCTAGCCCAGGCAACAGAGTGAGATTCTGTCTCAAAAAACAAACAAACAAAAAAGAAATAGGCATCAACACTTGTAAGACCTTCACTTAGATTCACCAGTTGCCAATATTTTGCCACATAAGTGCATACTTGTACTTGCTCTCTGTCTCTGTTTTTCTCTCTCTGTATATATGTAGGTATATTATGTGTGTGTATGTTTTGGTTTGTGTTTTTGCTGGACTATTTGGAAGTAAGTTATAGACATCGTGACACTCATAAATATTTTAGTATGTATTTCCTAAGAACAAAGAAGTTGTTTTAATTCTAAGGATTATTACATGTTTAAAATTTAAGGATGTTCAGTTGTCCCCAAAAGTCCATGGTTGTTTTTTGTTGGTGGTTTTTATTTTTTTATTCTTATTTTTTGATACAGGAACCAGTCAAGAATCACAGATTGCATCTTATTGTCATGTCACTTTAGTCTTCTTTAATCTAGAACAGTCCCCCATTTTTTTTGTTTTTTTTGCGCTTTTATGACATTATCATTTTTGAAGAGTCCAGGCCAGTTTCCTTATAGAATGTTTTTTAGGCTAATTGTCTTATAGAGTGCATTTGTCTGATTATTTCCTTATGATTTGATTTAGGGTACACATTTTGGTCAGAATACTACATAGATGAAATGATTCAATGGCAGGTTTATAATATCATGTAGCACATTAATGATGGGTAGTTCCGTTATTGGTGATGTTAAGTTTGAGCACTTGGTTAAGGTGGGACAAAATAGTTTCAGTATGACATCAATGTTGCTACCAACAGCAAACCTGCTAAGTAAAGTTCAACACTACCTGGTAGTTCTTTCTGCCTGTAATGACATGTAAGGGTGTACAGTTTGGGTACTGTGTTCAAAAGGTTGAAAAGTTACTTGAGTTGATTTTTATTTCTGTGGTTGTATTATCAGCTTGATGTATAGTTAGTTCCATTTGTTTTTGTTTGTATTACATTTTCAAATTTGCTTTTTTCTTTTTTTATTTACATTTTTTGACTATAACATGGTTCTTAAATCAAAACTATAAAAATACATAAATATTTAGATCCATTCCCATTCCCTGTTAACCCATTTCCATCCTCTTTCATACATAATCATTTTATTTTTGGCTTATCCTTCTGTTTTTCTCTTTATAAAATAAGCAAATATATATGTGTTCTTCATATCTAGAAGGTATTGGTATGCTAATACTTTGTTGTAGTTGGGTTGAAAGTGATCGTAAAGCATAACTGATTCTAGTCAGAAGAAAATAAGAGCCAGTGGAGTTTAACCAAAGTTTATGCATGACTGCCTTCAGGATACAGCTCCGCCATCACCTCCTTTGGAAAATGTCCTTTAGCCCTCTGCCTGATTTCCTCCCCCTACTTAGGTTTCCCTTTGCCCTTTTATCACTGTGATACCCACTCTCTGTCACAGTGCTTTATGGTACTGTAGGGTAGCTGTTGGTTTCTGTCTTTCTCCTCTACTGGGCAATCAGCTTCTCCAGGGCAAAGTCTCTCTTTTATCTCTGCATTTCCCATGGGCAGCAAAACCAGTAGCTGCAAAATAAATGATGGATGAGTAAGTAATCTACATTTATATGACTTAGTATTAAAATTTAGCAGAAATTAAATACTTTTGCAGAACTTTATCTTATACTCAAATTAGTCATAGTATTTTTTAGTATGAAATGCCTAGAATTGTTTTACACATCAGTAAGCAGAAGTAGGCACGCGTCCCATTGTTAGAACAAGCTTCTTGATGCTCTGTGTTTTCTGCGCATGGATCCTTTTGATGACTTCCTGTATTCGAGGCTGCTAGGCTATTCTCAGTGATCCTGAGCTTGACCAGATGTGTATGTAATGGAAGGTGAAGACACTGCTTTTTGTTTCTCCATACTTCCTGTTGAATGCATGCCACGAGGAAACAGTTGTGTAGGAGTACATGTTCTATCTGATATGGGTCTTGATTGTAACAGCCACTTTCATTGAGCTAGAGATCCTGGTCCTTCTATAGTCAGGGATATGGAGGAAAGGGATTCATTATTTTTAGCCTGTTGGTAGAAACAGTGGAGAATGACCTCAGATACTTGCTTCATCACCTGCCCCCCCCCCCCCCCATTGAGTGTATGTAAAGGCTGCAAATCAAAATGTCTGTGTGCTGCTTTTTGTAAATCTAGCAGAACTTTATTAAATGCCCCTCCATCATTAGCCTTTGTTTAGTTTGGCTTTGTTTTTCTCTGGTGTATCTATCACCAGACCAGATTTACCTTTCTGGCTGTGATTAGTATCTATTTCTATTTTAGGCAGTGCTGATGCAGTCACGGGAACAGGTTTCAGAAGAGCTGGTGAGGTTACAGAAAGATAATGACAGTCTCCAGGGAAAGCATAGCTTACATGTGTCACTACAGCAAGCAGAAGATTTCATCCTCCCGGATACTATAGAGGTAACTTATTTTCTACATGATCAAAAATATAAACAAGTACATTTTCTGAAATGGCTATAAATTCTTTTTTTAAATAGCTTTATTAAAATATAATTCACATACCAAACAATTAAACCTTTTCAAGTGTACAGTTCAGTGGTTTTCACTATATTCACAGATATGTGCATCACAGTCATTTTTATCACCTCAAAAAGAAACAGCTATCACTCCTATTCCCCCTCTCTCCCAGCCTTAAGTAACTACTAATCTACTTTTTATCTCTATAGATTTTTCTATTCTAGACTTTCATATGAATGGAATTATATAACATGTGGTCTTTTGTGTCTGGCTTTTGCGTAGCATAATGTTTTAACATCTATAAATTATTCTTGTGGGATCAGATTGAGAATGTGCCAGAAATTAAATGTTGAAGAGGTCATGAAACCCCTTGTCATGTTTGTTTTTGTATGTAGCATTTAAAAGGTTATAGCATACCCACCATATTTCTCTCCATAAAGATGACACTTTTGGTCACTTACATTCTTCTGTAGTTGAGTGAATATGGTTTACAAAACTGGTGTCCCAGAGATATTCATAACTGTCTCTTTAACTTTATCCAACCTTTATACTCATATATTTTTAAACCTTTCAACATATAAAAATGTCTTAGGCTAGGCCGGGCACGGTGGCTCACGCCTGTAATCCTAGCTCTCTGGGAGGCGTAGGCGGGTGGATAGCTCGAGGTCAGGAGTTTGAAACCATCCTGAGCAAGAGCAAGACCCTGTCTCTACTACAAATAGAAAGAAATTAATTGGCCAACTAATATATATATATATAAGATTAGCCGGGCATGGTGGCGCATGCCTGTAGTCCCAGCTACTCGGGAGGCTGAGGCAGTAGGATCGCTTGAGCCCAGGAGTTTGAGGTTGCTGTGAGCTAGGCTGACGCCACAGCACTCATTCTAGCCTGGGCAACAAAGCAAGACTCTGTTTCAAAAAAAAAAAAAAGTCTTAGGCTAAACCTACATAAACCCTATAAACAGTATAGGCAAAGATGAGATTTCTTAGAATAATTTTCAAAATAAAATAGAAAGATGTTACTTAAAGTTTCCTTTACATTTAAAAAAATAAAATTATAAGTTAAAGAAATGTATAAGTAACATCTTTCTATTTTGTTTTGAAAATCGTTCTAAGAAATCTCATTCAGAAATTTATAATTTTGTACATGAAAGTTTACCCTAATTGTACCCTTCAGGTTTAACCTGTACAAAGATTCAATTGCTTATTTTGGCATTAGCTCCTTGCTCTCCCTACCTTCCCCCAACTTGTGGTTATCTCAGCTCAGTTTACTAGTGCTCTGGGAAAAGCCTTTTCTCCTGTCTGGACTGGTGACTGCTTTCATCAAAAGGGTGTTGGGAACCGGGCTACTTTTGCTATCAGCGTAAAAATCACTGTTCTACCACCTTCTACCTCTGTTAGACTTTTCTCTCTTGGCAGGAAAGAATCTTCTCTTCCATGTTCTCTAGAGACTTTTTATTCTAGATTTAAAAAAATTTCAAGAATCCTTGAAGGATATAGTTAGTCTAGCCAGTAAGCTTTGATTCTTAGACCTGCCTCAGTAATAAACCTTATGAAATTTTTCTTATGTTGTAGTTTTTAAACTGTTGTCCTTTAATTTATATACATTTATTAATTATTTGACAGTCCAGATTTTAGAATTGCTGTAGGATATAATGGGAAGGATTTCTAAAAGAAGACAGACCTAAAATTTAGGGGAAAAAATAAAATAAGATTTAAACTGAATGTATTACGGAAAAACAGCTGACAGCTGATCACCTTAGAAAGCCATTCTTTTTTTTTTTTGACACAGAGTCTTACTCTGTTGCCATGGGTAGAGTGCTGTGGCCGCAGCCTAGCTCACAGCAACCTCAAACTCCTAGGCCCAAGTAATCCTCCTGCTTCAGCCTCCCAAGTAGCTGGGACTATAGGCGCATGCCACTACGTCCCGCTAATTTTTCTATCTTTAGTAGAGACGGGGTCTTGCTCTTGTTCAGGCTGGTCTCGAACTCCTGAGCTCAAGGAATCCTCTTGCCGTGGCCTCCCAGAGTGCTAGGATTATAGGCATGAGCCACCACGCCTGGCCAGAAAGCCATTCTTTGCCATTGCTTTCCTCTAGCCTAACATGGTTCTCTGCTTGTGGGAGATGTTCAGTAAGTGTTTGAATGAATGAATGAAGTGAATAAGTAAATACATTTTATAGTCTTAGCATTCACGCTTCTGAATTTCAGCCTTTGTCTTCATTCCCTAACTCCTCCCAAATTCATGCAAGTAATAGTAGATGCTCCCAAGCTGTTATTCCTAGTGAGTGTCATATTGTAAGTCACTTAGCCTTTTTATTTTTCTGCTTGTGAAACAGTTTTGAGGAAATAATGTGGTTCACAACACATATTTTGGCTGGAAACGTCTTTTTTCTATAACATGCTGAATGTTAACCTGACATGGCATCTGTCCTTGAAGCCCTAAGTGGGTTAAAGTTCAAAGTCTTAATTTTTGAACCATTCAAAACAACATCTAAAATTCTGGTTGTAGAAAATATTTAGCTTCTTTATTTCCTTTCACTCTCACAAACCCAGTAATCATTTTACTCTTGAATCCAAGGCACTGCGGGAGTTGGTATTAAAGTACCGTGAGGACATCATCAGTGTGCGGACAGCGGCAGACCACATGGAAGAAAAGCTGAAGGCGGAGATACTTTTCCTAAAAGAGCAGATCCAAGCAGAACAATGTTTAAAAGAAAACCTTGAAGAAACACTGCAGCTAGAAATAGAAAACTGCAAGGAGGAAATAGGTGAAGATAAAAGTGATGTAGTTTTTAGAGAAACTAAATAAAACTTTCCTTATTGTAAGAAGTAATAGTGGCCATGGAATGTGGAAAATAGAAAAGTATAGGAAAGAATTTAGTAAGGACTCAGTCCATTTTTCCAGATATTCTGATATATCCAGTAATTGAGAGTAAAAACAAACAAAAAAACCCCTCATTGTCTTTTTAGGAGCTCTGTGGTTTTTTCTTTGGCAAATTATTCACAGATAGGTAACTCAGTATTTGAACACAGACCCCAGGGGAACATGATTTGATGGGTGTTTTTCCCTGCAGAGCTTGGAAGTGTTAAAAGCTGGGAATATCTCCCCTCCTCTTGCCAGAATAAGCGATGTGAATACTCGATCTGGAGGTAGTTTATGACCCAGTATCCATTTGCATGGACTCTGCCTTTACTTGAGTTTGATTATAAGGCTGATTTGTTGGGGACAATTTTGAGAAACTCCCCCATGTTCAGTATATATTTGCTTTTTAAGAAAAAAAATTGTAATGCAAAGTAATAAATGAATGCTAATTACTTCTTTTCCTTCTAGCTTCCATTTCTAGTCTAAAAGCTGAATTAGAAAGAATAAAAGTGGAAAAAGGACAGGTGAGTCATGAGTTTTAAATTAATTCTTTCAGCAACCTGTGGTTATTTATTGACGTGCTAGAGCCAAGGAATAAAAGATAGTTAAAGTATGGTCCCTGCCTTCAAGGAACTTCCGTTTAGTGGGAAAAACAGAGTGGGGAAAAGGATGTGGTAGTGATGGAGAACATATATTGAGAATCTGCTGTGTGTCAGGCCATGTGTTAACTGGAGGAGGGATAGAAAAGGCTGTAGTCTGGAGTGTCCAGTGTAGAGGGAGGACAGGCAAGGTATGGCATGATATATGCTTAAAGCTGCAGTAGAAGTTATGTACAAACACTTTTTACAAATGGAGATGTTTTCTAGCTGGCTTAGTTGTCTTCTCTTAGACAATGTCAGCACCTTTGGTAATGACTGCATTCAATTCTCCGACCTCATTGTTTCTTGGCTCAAAGCCCTTGACTCTACTGTGCCCTCCCTTCTCACACTCTGGGCTGCACCTTTCTGCACTCTGACACCTCATTCCAGCTTTACATTTCTTGCCCACAGCCTGTCATCCTTCCAGCTCTTAATCCTCATTCAGACCTTCAATTCCATGAACTCTTCTTTTCTCCCTGGTCTTAGCAGCTTCCTGATGGCCTGCTTTCCTTCCCTTAGACTGCCTCTTATGGGGTTGCCTCTTTGCCTCGCCTCCCACCACACTTCTGCTGCTGTTGTCCTCCCTCGACTGCTGCCCACCTGGTCTAGTCCTGCTGATGCCATCAGAATTGGTGACTCATGCTGTCAGATCAGCCTCTAGTGCTCCTCGGGTAGCCCTTTATTTGTCCTGAGTGTTGGCTTCAGAGTCACCTTACTTCAACCACTCCCTCTCAGTCATCAGGCAGGGCTACCTTCAACTTCTGTTCTCCTACTTTTATTCCCAGCCTTCTCTCTCTCTTTTTTCTTCAGAAAAAATGACCTGCTCTGACCACAGTGTGTCATAGGTGCTATGACTGAGTCCCTCCCATCATTTCCAGGTGTTCCCTCAGTCATACCCTCACAGTCCTGGGCCTTGAACCTCTACCTCTTGATCAGTCTTTTCCTTATGCATGAACATGCTCAGGTGTCTCCCATTCAGAGAGAGTAAGTTTCTCTTTGGATTGCACTTCTCTCTCAAGCTACCAATCTTCCTTCTTCCCTTTCTTGCTTAGGTATGGAAGAGTAGTCTCCACTGCCTGACCTCCCAGTCACTCCTCAGCCTGCTGCAGTCTGCCTCCTGACTCCACTCTGTTACTGAGATTGCACCAGCAGAAACTAACAGTGCGCTAAATGTGTCTCATCCTTTCCACTCCTGTTGCCACTGTTTGGGTTCAGACTTCACTTCTCACCTGGCTTATTGTAATAATCTAATTCATTTCCCTGCCTCCAAAATTTATCCCCTTCTAATTCATCTCCATATTGAAATCAAGGTGATCTTTAAAAATGATAAACTTGATTGTGTCCCAGTCTGGTTGAAAACCCTGCAGTGGTTCCCTTTATCTCCAGGTTTAATTTCCCATTCCTTAGTCCAGCTGGACATCTCTTCCCTCACACTGCTTCTCTGGCCTAGGCCTCCAGGGCCTAGCACTCTGTGCCATAGGCAAGCAGAACTCACCTCTGTTCCCAGATGCATTTTTTATGTATGCCATCCATTCCTTCTTTTTGGAGTATCTCTCTCCACTTTCCCCATACCACTCTTTTCCTTGGCCCCTGTAAACTTTTTCATCTTTTATGAGTCAAATGTCATCTTTCTTAGGAAGCTCTTTATAACTTCTCTGGCAGAATATAATGCTTGTTCCTTGTGTCTACATGCCATAATTATTTACATGTCTGTCTCTCCTGATTTCTCCATCTTGAGGCCTTAGAATATAGTAGGTGCCTAATAAATGGTTAATGAAAGAATAGGTCTAGAAGACTAAATTGGGGATCCACAGAGATTAAGGGGTGAGAAGAACATTCCAAGTGTAGCCAAGGTCCATGGCCTAGGGCCCGAGAGTTTGGGCATAATTCTCCAGGCTGCAGGCTCTTATAGGCGGTGTGCTATGGCCTACAGGAGAGTTTCTATGAGTTTCATCTTTTTCATTTTTAATTCCACAGTTGGAGTCCACATTAAAAGAGAAGTCTCAACAGCTTGAGAGTCTTCAAGAGATAAAGATCACTTTGGAAGAACAGTTAAAGAAAGAGACTGCTGCTAAGGTGATTTTTTTGTTGTTGTTGTTGTTCATTTAATTAAAAGCAGGGCTAAGAATGTAGGATCACATCTTGTTTGTTTAAAAGAAAAAAACACATTGCTGCTTTGAAGTGTCACCTTTTAAAAAGTTGGCACAACTGTCAGCTTCTCCCCTCCAAAAAATAATTAAATGAATTGATATATTAGAATTGAGTTAAACCCTTACTCTGTCAGCCCTGGAAGCTGGTGTCATAGGCCTTCCTAGTTTTAGACAGGGCCAATGACCATACTTGGGCACTGCCCAGTTAGAAGCACTGCTTTGAATTTTGAATTTTGCTTTTGAATCAGTCATTCCATTTGACTGATATATTAGCTCAGTTAGAATAAAAGTGCATGTGGCTAGTTATGGGGTAAGTTTCCCAGAAACATCTTAGTGAGCTGTGTGTTCAGAACTTGAAGTGTAGAAAAACTGTGTTGGTGTTCAAATAGCCTCTTGTTTTTAGAAACGCTCCCATGCATCCTGCTGAAGTGGTTTTCTGTAAGGAAGATTGGAGTTAGCTGGGGCTGCCTGGGGCATATTTACTGAGAATTTTCCTGGTGGATGCTTGACTGTTGTGGTTGTCAGAGGAAACCCCCAAAGTTTCTATCCGTGTTGCTGTGACAGCTACTGATCTTAGCAGCTACATTCTGATGATTAATCACTGTCACCAACTGCTGGTGGGGTGGGCAGCACTTTAATTCATTTCTTTTCATTTTAGAACCTAGAGCAAGTAGCCAGCTTGCACCCTTGCCCTATAGATAAAGAGAGTGATAGGATATAGGATTATGATAGATACACACACCTTCCTGCTCTAGTAGTAGGTAACTACACATTCCTAGATTTCCTAAGTAATTCTGACCTTTGGCTCTTTGGCATTAATCCTCATTCAATACTTGTATTTTTTTAGGCTACTGTTGAACAACTAATGTTTGAAGAAAAGAACAAAGCCCAGAGATTACAGACAGAATTAGATGTCAGTGAACAAGTCCAGAGAGATTTTGTAAAGCTTTCACAGACCCTTCAGGTGAGGCATTTGGGGAACCACTGCGCAGAGCATTGAAGCAGTTTTGGAGGCGAGAACCTTGCCAACCCTGACTTGACCACCGGCAGTAGCTAGAGGTTTACACTGTGGCTGCCCCTCCCTCCACTCCACATGTCCACCTGGTTATTCAAGCCAGGAACCTGGTGTGTTCTTCAGACTCGGCCCCCTTTCTTTTCCTCTATGCCTTGTCAATTTTGCCTCCTTAAGAGTAGTAAAGTATAAACTACTTAGCACACCACAAAACACTCTTTCCAACCTGGCCTACCCCTACATTTTGCTCATCTTTCTGCCTTATGTTTTATGTTCTAATGTTTTTTTTTGTTTGTTTGTTTTTTTTTTGAGACAGAGTCTCGCTTTCTTGCCTAGGCTAGAGTGAGTGCCGTGGCGTCAGCCTAGCTCACAGCAACCTCAATCTCCTGGGCTCAAGCGATCCTCCTGCCTCAGCCTCCCGAGTAGCTGGGACTACAGGCACGAGCCACCATGCCCGGCTGATTTTTTTTTATATTATATATATTAGTTGGCCAATTAATTTCTTTCTATTTTTATGGTAGAGACGGGGTCTCGCTCAGGCTGGTTTTGAACTCCTGACCTTGAGCAATCCGCCTGCCTCGGCCTCCCAGAGTGCTAGGATTACAGGCGTGAGCCACCGCGCCCGGCCTGTTCTAATGTTTTTTAACTACTTGTGGTTCCTTGGCTACAGCATGGTGTTCCCTCTGCTAAGCACCTCAGCCCCTCGTGACTCTTTTAAGGCCCAGCGTATGTTTGTCTTCTCCATGGAGCCCTCACTAGGTCCCTGAGCTGGGCTAAAGTGCCTCCCTCCCCCTGCCATGCTCCCTTGGCCATCTGCGAATGTCTGTAGTGACATTTAGTATATTGTGCTAGAACTCTCTGTAAGCATCTTTTTTCCCAAGTGAATTGTGGATTCTTAGGGGTCAAGAGTCAGGTCTCCTTTGTCTCCATAATCTTAGCACTTAACATTTTGTAGTCCCAGTCTATTACATAGCAGCTTTTGGTAATTATATTTTGAATTTAATCATTTGTTCTTCTTGCCTCCCTTCTTTGAAGTGACTACTTCTCTGGGGAATTAATCTGCTGCATCTCAGCTAAACCAAAGTAAAGTTCAGAAAATCTAGGCAGGAGCCACCTGCACTTATCTCACCATTGTTTCTCCAGGTGCAGTTAGAGCGGATCCGGCAAGCAGACTCCTTGGAGAGAATCCGGGCAATTCTGAATGATACCAAACTGACAGACATTAACCAGCTCCCTGAGACATGACACCCCTATAGCAGGATTCTAGCCTGCACTTTGGGTTTTTAACTCCTCTTTAGAGCAACATTAATTATTATTTAACTCTTAACTGAAGAAACAGAAGTCACAACAAAAGGAAGACTGGAGAAATGCTTACTTCTAGTGGGAGAAGACTGCAGCACAGGAACAGCAAACAGCCAGGGTGATTCGCAGCAGACTTTTCAAACGGGAACACTAACAAGACTCCAGACTTGATCCCAACAGGTGTGGGATCAGTTTGGTGATGGAAAAAGTGCTGTTTCCTTGCCTGCTTTCTCCAACATAGATGTTTGGAACACATTTCCCTACCCTAAAGCGACATCCCAATAGTGTTTGGAATTACATTTTCTGTTCATATATATTGGAAGAAAGAATTTTCTTTTTCTGTTGTCTAGAGCTCATCAGTAACAGTATTCAGCTAGCAGACAGAGGTGTAGTACGCTGTATGAATATTTTATATTAAAATATGAAGTTATGAGAGCAGGCCATTGGCTACTGACTGTATTTCCCTTGCTCAGTGCATTTTTTTCCCTTTTACCTTTTTATTTTGCATTGGAGGACCTTAAATGCTACTGAAACTTACCTGAGAACCATAGGACTGTGGCAAACAAAACCAATTCAACAACTGAATTAATTATGAAGATTTGGAAACTTGGCTAGGGCTATATATGTTGGAAGTTGAAGTTAAAGGAAAAGCACAAGAAAACTGTTTGGAAGCACTTTTCTGCATACCTAGATGATCTTCGTGGACCGACAGGTACCAGGGTAAAGCTGAACTGGCACCATCTACTTTTTTGAAGTGTTTTAGTTTAGTTATTGGATCAGTGAAAAAAAATAATAAAACAAGCTTTGTCTGACAACTAGTATACATTTATAAATCTGCTGCTTATTTTCAACTTGGATCAATGGGCTTGAGTACTGTTTTTTTCAAATGTGTCAAATATGAAAATGGTGGTAACTAGGTTGACAGATACTTTGTTTTTCTTTCATAATTTAGACCTGGAATGGAATGTGACAATGCTTATGGTAAAGTTGGGGGGGAAAATAGTTAGTACATTCATCATTTTGGAAGTCCGCTTTGTCATTTTATAAGAGGTTAGATTCCTATGTGAGAAACCTTCAATGAAACAGGTCTTTGCCATAGCTTTATGAAGTGTTGCAGAAAGCACAAAGAATGGGTTTGTATCCACTATTGACCTGTGGCAGTACTGTCCCAGGAATAGTCAGTGGAAGGCTACACTGTTTATAATTCATCATCCAGATAGTTCAAAAGTAAAATTGTTATTTTCATATAATTTTTGTGATTGGTTGCATAACAGCAGGTTATCTAATGGAAACTTATGGGAATTAGTGAACTAAGCAGATTGTTTGGTTCACTTAAAACCACCATCAACTTACAGTGTAACGTGAATTATCTTTGTTATAAATGAAGTCATTATGGACTTGCCCTAAAGGTCTTTACTTCTGTCTTCCATAGGACAAATGATAAGGACTACATACCTTATCTCTTGGGTTATTATTGAAGTCTTGCATTCATGATTATGAACTTAAAAGTAAATACTAATTATGGGAATAGTGCTAAAGGCTTGTCACGCATGAAACATAACTCTAATTGGTTTGAAGTCCCTTTGTATAAAGTGCTATGTGGTTTAGATAAAGGAAACATATATCCTCATTCAGTTTCAGGGAATTTTACTAATTACAAAATGCAATCAATTTAAACTATATAGGTTTAAGACTAGTCCCTTGGATAGGCCCCAAGCTAATTTCAGATTATTAAAATTAGCACTGTAAATCAGGATAAGCAATTCATCATCTTTCTGAACCTACTGAACTATAGGTTCCAGTGAAGTGTTCTGCTGAGACTGAGCACCTTACAAATATTTTTCTTCAGAAGACGGTAGTGGGGCAATAAAATCATGATTAGGGAACTGTTACTGCTCCCTACTGTGGCAGATACAAATTTTTGAAATCCAGTTTATTGAGGAAAGTATAGAAAAACTCAAACTGAGACTCTAGGTTTTGTTTAACAACCTGTTTCTGATGTGAAACAAACTGTGACACTAGGCAGGAAACAATTCTTTAAGTTGGGTTTCCTGCATAAATGGGAACTAATGTAGAAGGTGGGATTTAGCCCTTCTAGACAAAAGAAAGGATCAGTTGGGTTTCACGAGTGTTCCTGTGCTTATGCTCAGTCTGTACACACGTTTTCACGCATGTCTAACCTGATTTACCTCTTATCTGTAACGTACCTTACCATGTGGCTTTCAATTGGCAGTCACTCAGCCATTTCTAGGCAGGTACAGTACTACCTTTCAGAATTCATATTGGCAGGTATAAAAAGATGATTGAAGCTAAAACCACATACTACATACCAAGCTATTTCTTTCTTCCTTTGCGGTGCCAAACTTGCACATTGTACCCACTCAGTAACAAGTTGTTTTGGGACATAGAGAATAGCCAGACTCAGCTCTGAAAGGTAATACTGCCTGTGAAGAAGTGAGCCAGCAGTGGCCTTTGCAGTTGTGGATCTTGAGCTCTGCTCTCAGCAGATTTCAGGTGTAACCATTTGTTAACTGTACTGAAGATGTGTCCTTAAGAAGAAAGTGTTCAAATTAAAAAAGCTGCTGCCGAGTATAATGTGTGGTCTTTTCCTTTGAATCCTAGGGTTCTGTCCTTCAGAGTCATAGTTCTGGCACTGCTGCTTTAAAACATAGCTCTTATTCTTGTTCATATATGGAGAAAACTCAGTAGGGTTCATGGAGATTTGGCAGTGTGCAGCTGAAAGTCTGTTCCTGAGCCCTTGCTAAATACAATCATAGACTTGAGTTATACCGCACATTGCAGTTTTTAAATAAAAGTATTTATTCAATAATTATAAAACATATTTAAAAAGATGAACCACACCATAGGTCTTCCAAAATGCCTCTTTATAAATTTGACAATGCTATTTGTTTTACAGTATGGGTTTAAGCCTTCAGTGGTGGTAACTTCCGTCGTGAATCTGCTCCTGGTGGTGTCAGAAGTTTACATGATTGCGGATATCATTGATTTGCTTCACCATTTCCCTTATGTGTTCACCCCTGTAAAAACATAAAGTTCATGTTTGGAAATACAATGAATGAGTAAAGCTATTAATTAGTATGGATTCTTAAAAATTTAAACTAGTAATGTTGACATATCTAACAACTACTTTGCTGGGCCAGAGGAGTTTGACACTAGCCTGAGTAAGAGCGAGAACCCATCTCTACTAAAAATAGAAAAAATTAGCCGGGTGTGGTGGTGCACACCTGTAGTCCCAGCTACTTGGGAGGCTGAGGCAGGAGGATCACTTGAGCCCAGGAGTTTGAGGTTGCTGTGAGCTAGCTGACGCCATGGCACTCTAGCTCGGGCAACAGAGTGAGACTCTGTCTCAAAAAAAAGCTGCTTTGCTAAAATTCACAGTTGAAAGTTTCACATGGATAGCAGTGGTATTCACTATTTAAGATGACAAACACTGGTGCAAGTACTGGAAATATTTTTGAACATATTCATTGTGATATACCTTTGACCATAAAACAAAATCATGTTTTAGGAAGGTCATCATTTTTGATCCTCCTACCATACTCTTTGACTCAGGTTTCTAATAAGACAGATTGATTTGGGCATACTATAAAGGAAAAACTATCACAATAATAGCTGATTGTACGTATTTACTTACTCCTCCATCAGGATGGACTGAATGCACTTTCGCTGGTAAGCACTAAGAGTAATGGTGGGTTTTTGAAGACTCAACACTTTTTCCATCTTTCGCTGTTGATAGTCTTTTTTCATAGTAACCTTAAGTAGCAAACAAAACATAGATATATTTTAGCTATGGTTTGCCACACATTTTCACAGTATCTGTTTAGTATGTAATTTTTACATTTTTTAAAAAATTGGGGGGAGGGGGGTGGGTATATACATACATAATGAGTGAGATGTGCACCATCTGGGGGATGGTCATGATGGAGACTCAGACTTTTGGGGGGAGGGGGGGAAATAGGCATTTATTGAAACCTTAAAATCTGTACCCCCATAATATGCCGAAATAAAAAAAAATATATTTTCTGCAGAATAAGTGCTTAAAAATAAGTACTGAATTTAGCCACCTTGTATCCATTCCTACCTGTTTGATGGCATTGCCCAAATGTCGAAGTTGATCAGGAATCAGCTGTAATTCTTTCTTCATGTCTCGTTCACTATCAGAGAGAACTGGGAGCTGAGAGTGAAAACTGTGAAGTACTTTTTTCATCCTTTAGAAAAGGTAAGCAAACATCTCAGCTTAAGATCTCTATTAGGAAAAACATAATCACAAATAAAGCTTGTAATTCATGACTCTGGTATATGTGAAAGAGGCCCCCATATTCCTATAGGGTTAGAGGAAAGCATCATGTCTTCCCTAACATACACTTTAGAGAAGGGAATCAATTTAATTCTGTAGGTATGTGAGCACCTGCAAGGCCTATTTTCTTAATACCACTGGTAATACATAAGTACTTAATAGTATTGCTAATACCTAAGTAGGGAACTATACGTCCTGCAGCCCACTGACCTGTTCATGATATCTTCTTGTTTTTCCTTTGCTTCCTCATATTTGTCAGCTAAGCGTTCAGCCATTTCTCGCAGACTTTTCCTAATGGTGTAAGAAACAAGATTCTTGGCCTCCACCGAGATGTTGAAGCCAACTGATGTGGCTCAGCCCCTTAGGGTGAGATGTAGTTTCAATCTTACTGATTTATTTTCCCTGGTTTTCACACTTACCTCTCCTCTCGACAGTAATTGAGATCTTCTAGTTGTTTCTTTTTTTGATCACATAGTAATTTGACCCTTCAAGAACAAATAAAGTTTAATCAGAAGCCAGGTCTAGGCTGTTACACATCAGCTACCAGCTAGGGACTGATGGTTTGTGAGCAGAGGACACGTCATACCTCCGCTGAATCTCCTCCTTTGCCAGGTCCTGTTTAAGAATGTACTGTTCTCTGAACACCTGGGTGGCTCTGCTGATGAGCTGAAGACATTCTTCAGGAGGAGGGGCTATATCCTTTTCCGATGATCTTAAAAACAAAGTTTCTACCATTATTTTCCTTAGCTGAGTAAAATAACTGAAAACAGATTCAAGTCATAACTGCTTTCTTCTCCCTCTATTCACTAGCTGATTCAGTGCCCTGTGTTTCCACCACAGTAAAAAGTATAGGACATAGCTAAGGACAGAAAGGATGCACAGCAATTATGAAGAAGAAGAGAACCCAGTCTTAAAACCTCTATGCCCAAGATCCCATACTTCAAAAATGCTGGATTGGCAACACTACGTTGCAAGATGCTTCTAATATGCTTTTCAAAGGAATCTGGGGTTTCAGCCAGAATGCGGAGGGGAGACTCTGCAACTTCAACATCTTCTTGGGTACAAAGCAGGGGAGGAGATGCTGGATGGACTGTACTTCTGCAAAATAAATAGATAAATCAATCCATCAAAGTCTACAATGGAATGATTTATCATAAGTATCATAGGAAAGTGTAAACCACATTTATTCAGAACTTTGAGAACGTAAGAAACTATAATAAGGTGTTACTTTTATTAAAATATAAAAATGCATGTTTTCTACCTTGAAAAGGTCACTTAGGGATGCTATACCCTTACTTCACCAATGCTGCCATTTCTCAAAGCATTTTAGACTCTGCCACTTCAAATTCTTTTTGAAAAGATTAAGGCAGCAAAAAAATATAAACCCATTGTAGACTTTTTGCAAAGGACTTGAGAGCCAGTTTATAAGCCAGAACCACACATCTAAATAAATCATTCATTTCTTTTCTAGGTATAGGTTGGATTTGATCAAAACCAATGTTAAGATACTACTATATATGCCATATTTGGTTCTATACAACTTGATTTCTAAAAATTACATCCATTCAAAAGCAATTTCAGAAAGAAGCTTGAAAGATTTCAACCTTTGGCAGCATTGGTAAGTGACTTACTTTGAAGGCAACAATTCAAATTTGGAATAGTTAGACAGCAACATTATAGATAATTTGTATTTCAGGGAGATGGGCAGAAACATGATTTAAAGATATTGAAATAATTGTTTTTTTCCTCCTTTGGGATTCACATTTTTATTCTGAAGTAACCTAGTATGACCAGGTTTTATTTTACTAAAGGTAGTATGGGTTTTTAAAAAAATATGCTGAGGCAACTGACAGGCAATTCTTTCCCTTGTGATTTTATTATTTTTGTTTAATCTTGCTAGAGTTTTTAGAATAAATAACACAAAATTGATAATCGAATTATGTATTTTCCCTTCTGAATATAACTAGTCAGTCTTCAAAGAGCATGGAACATCCTCTAAGGACAGTAAACTAATGCCAGTATTCCGAACTAATGTCATCTAGAAGCGCATGCTTTGAACTGACCCCAAGAGACTGGAGGTCCTGGTGACTTGGTTTTGGTACTTCTATTCTTGAATTTATATAACTCAGAATGACCCCCAGGGCTCTTAGAAAAGAAAATGGTGATTATAGCTTAATATCTGAGTTCCTTAAGGGGACCAAGGACTAGGAATTCAGCTTTATACCACTTTTGTTTCACAGTTTATATATTCTATGGTGCCCCTCTGAAGTTGGCAGAGATGGAGAAATTAAAGAGTGTAAGTATGGACTTTGGAGTTGGTCAGATCTGCATCTCAACTCTGTGACTTCAGCATTTATTTAACCTCTTGAGCCCTGTTTCCTTTTCTGTAAAATGGGGATAACAGTGCTTTCCTTACAGGGCTGCTGTGATGATTCCAGGAGGCAATGCAATAGCTTGCTTCCGAGCCTGGCGCACAAAGCTTGAAGATCATTAAATCTAATTCATATCAATAATGGGGTTTTACATTTACTGAGGGCATCTTTCCAGCTTAAATTCTACAGAATTAATGAGAGCTGTGTGGAGAATACAAAACAAGACATACAATAAAGGCCTTATGAGGCATTCGTAGGTACTGGTGATGCAGATCATTGTGGGCCCCAGAATGTCAGGGACAATCCAGAATCCTCGAATTGGAGCTGGCTGCCTGAAAAAACACAGTTACAGTTAAATTACAAAGCAAATGCAAAGAAACCAAGAGCAAAGATGGGACTGAGGTCTGCGGTCTTCTCAGGTTGCTTGGGACATGCTATCTATCAGTGCAGTAACCTCACCCCCTCACACCTTCTAAAGATTGTACCATCAACTGTGTCATTTCAAAATCTCCTTATGTCTCTGTTACAAAGAAGCTCATATCTCTTGTATTCAAAACATTCTCTATTATAATACCCAGTTCTCCTTAATCTATTCTCTTTTTCCCTTAAGAACCAATAGTCTTTAAACAGTAGTTGACAATACTAGTTCCCCTTCTGTATTTCCAATTCGTCTTTTTTTTTTGAGGGCAGACAGATCTGGGAAGTACTGACATTTCAGTTTTCATTATTAGACTATGTTTCTTAGTGTATACTGAGTGCCTCACGTCTGAACACTCAGAGTCTAACAGAATGCCTCGCAGATATTCAGTAACTGATGAACAGAATAAAAGGAAGTGTCTAGAATGACTCCCAGGTTTCTACTGGGGATAACTGGATAGATGTGGTACCCTTCAGAAAATAGG